CTAAGACGTTTAGAAAATGTGATGTAAATAACCAACTGTGTTTAAAAATCACTGTTATGATGTCACCGATTGTCCTACGGTACTTACTGAAGTAACCGTGTGTGCCACCAAATTTTTAAATTATTAAAATTGTACCGTGATGAAAAAAAGGTTGAGAATCACTGCACTAACTATTCACAGTAAATTTAATAATTAGAAATGTCTTAACTCAGAAGAGAGATTGGCAACCTGCAGACCACTTAATAGTAATTGGTGGAACATTTCCTAAAATCCTATTTTTATTACACATCCCACTTGTTCAAAAATTACAAAGTTTACTGATTTCTGCTGAAGTTTCTATATATATATTATCTTTGTAACATTGTGAATGTCAAAAAGTTTATTTTCTAATGTTTTGAAATACAGATTTTCTTCTTTTCTTAATTAAGTGAATGGGTATAAATTCATTTGATAATTATTTTCAGTAAAGTGAAGGTTTTTAATTTGAGAAACTCCATTAAGGAAACAAAAAACAGATAATACTTGATAGTATGAAGATCCTTAGATTCCCTCAGACATTTTCTACCAAANTAATTATTTTTTTTTTGGTGACAATTTCAAGCTAAGTATTTCATACATGTAGAGTAGACTGATTTAAACATTTACATACAAGAGTTCTATTTCTCTTTCAAAACACATTTATAATGTATTTATGAGAAAAACTAAAAACATAAATGCAGAGAAATGATTGTTTATAATTCATCTACAAAGACACTTAATAAATTTTCAAATTGCAGAGCTATAATGAGACAACAGTGTGAATCATTATTGTCCACCTGTGTCTACCCTTGCTTCCTTAAACTCAAGAATGGAGTTAGCTACACAAAAATTGAGACCACATACTAAACACTTATTTTTAAATTAAAACATGCTTAAGAATTGCAGCCTGGCTTGTTAAATTATAGATCTTCCTTTAAAAATTATATATATCAATATGTTAATATTGAAATATAACCATTTGAAAGGTTGAAATATTGTGTAAGAGTATCAAAACAGTATTTGCGCTTCATTTTGCTTGTTTGATAGAAAGCCCACCGAGGAGGGAAATATTGTAATTTCTGAAATGCATCTGGGTAAAATAAAGTTGTTGACTGGCTAGTACCCTTGGAGTCCGTGGATGTGATAATTCCTAGAGAATAACGGTGTTTGAACCAGTTACATATCGATATTTGAAAAATGGAACAGGAGCATAAAGATAAATTATTTCAATATTAAATTGTTTTAATTTTAATAAAATCCATTATCAAATGCAGAAAGCATTTAACAAGAAGCTTTCAAAAATCCTTACACAATTAAATTCTGAATGCCAATTTCTAAATGTAAAAATTTCAGCAATATTTATTTAGTTAAACCATTTCTCAATGTCCCAGAAATATGGCAAAATTCAAGCTATTTCAAAATTACACACTACCCCAAGAGAAATTATAAAACTTTACTTACTTTATTAGTTTAAGTATCAACTTTAATATTTTTATTTGTTTAAATTTCATTAGCTAATGATTTTTTTTAAAGTAATTCTAAATTCATGATTGGAAGAATATTTACATAAAATGAAATGTTACTTAAAATGCAAAGTTGTTATGCATTTTTAAAATATTTTAACAAAGAAATTGTATCAAAAAGTAATATTTCTGATTAAATATTCAATTAAAAAAAAATACAAAAAAATTGTAAAAACTACAGATTTGAACTTCAAAGCACAGTCTCTATTTTAAACAATGTTTTTGAATCATCTTCAATTACTTTGAACCTACTTTCATGCAATCTGCATTATCAGTTATAAATGAAATATATTGCAACTTTATTTTGCTATTTGCAGAGTGATGAGAGTACTGAAAATTTAAATAGCCACACACTTCCAAAATATTGTCAGCCAAGTTTTTCATGTAAAAAGAATCTCCTATTGACATGTTTGAATCTGATCTGGACTTTTCTTAGATAGCTTTGATCAAACTTTGTTCCCTATTTTTCATTATACTGGTTAGCTCTTTTGTACAGAAGTAAATCATCCAATAGTAATTCCATTTAAATTAATAAACTCACATCACCTATGATCTTGGTAAGATAAAATCCTATTTTTCATTCTATCATACAAATATATATCAAGAATTTTACTAAAGAAGAAATAGTAGATTGTCATCAGCTATGATAATGTCACTACACTAAACTCCAATAGTATATTTTTAATAGACAAAACAATTTTATCTGTATATGCTTAGAACTTAGTGACTAAAGCAAAATTATCTGATCTAGATACAAAATAAGATAATTTTAGATTTAACAGCCAATTTATGTCATTTAAACTAATCCCACAAATGATATCTTTGTCAAATCTAATTTTCAAGAAACAAAAATTGAGATCATCTACTCAAGTCACCATTTTAAATTACAGAAAGCTGATTACAATAATTTGAATTAAAAATATACACAAATTAATAAAAACAAAACAAAATAAAACCAAATGCAGACAATGAAAATTTTCATTTGTGATTTAGTCAAAACAACTGCACTAAACAAAACAATTATCTACTAGCATGAGCCAACGAAGAAAACAAAATATTTTTTGGCTATGCTCCATAGTTTTTGGATAAATTTAAAACCATAACAAAAACATGAGAAAGACTAGCAACAGTTTAGAATTGTTTCTGCAAAAGGCTCAACTATTTAATAGCCTAATTTTGCAACCCTTTTAGAAACTTTATTCTTGTTTGTATCCGTAACAGAAAATTCAATCATTATACCTATACTATCTAAATCCATGTTTGCATTTATTAAAAAAAAAAAAACAAGTTCCAAACTAGTAACTAATTTTTTCCCTTTAATTCCTTAATATAAAAACTACAGATATACTCATTTATTTTCATAAATCTCAAATATAATTTTCTATCAAAAATTAAACTGTAAAACTGATAAGTTCGTATGCACACAGAACAGTTTTGTAAAATATTTCTGATATCAAAAATAATTTAGAGCACGACAAGCACTTACACAGCAATATTTTGGAACAGGAGTATGTTAATTTCCTATACAATTGTTTGGACCTTATTCATTCAACATAAAAAAAAAAAAGCTCAAATCACACATTTTTAACTTTGTAAAGCATCATTCCATATCCTATTCAAATAAAAATATCTGAAAAACTTAAAGTTATTTGAAAATGAAATTTTTTCATAGCCAATCTCAGTTATATATCTGAATTAAGCTTAAGTATGCTAATTCATGTACACTTGGTACTATAATACAGCCGCCACATTTACTACTTTTGAAATAATTTATAAGAAAAGAAAACTTACTATAAGAATAAAAAGAGAATAAGGAAAAACATTTATATTTTTCTAAATCATCCAAATATTTATTTGTAAATAATTTTAAAATATACTCTTTTTTTATGAAAAACTCTTACATGATCAATCAAGAATGACATGAAATATCAAAAATAACTATAAACAACATTTGAAAAATCTATTGTAGATATTAACTTTCTGCCTACAAAATTTAATACAAATAAATTACACTGTTTTAACAGCAAGAAACTATAAAAAAGTTGTCAAAATAAAAAATAAAAGTGCACAATTTGCATTTAGAATCATATGTAATGGAGATTCAAATTAATAAATTGCATTAAAGAATTTCTTTGGACAGAGCAGATAGTTCTTTCATATGGCCACACAATACAAAATCAATAAAAAAAAATTTCATTTCCAGTCACTGTATGCAAAATGATTGAAAAAGGCACAAAAGATTCATGACAACACTTTAAAACTCAAAAAATGTATCGACGTTGCCAAAACTTCCGAAAGCTCGGCAATCTCGGCCGAGATTCACAGATTAGATAAAAGGTCCTCTTTGTAAAAAGAACAGAGAAGATAAGAAGTTGAACCCTAAAGTTTACAGAACTACATCTTCAACTTTAATAAAGATAATATAAATATGCAACCAATATTACAGTATAGACCTCTCTCAACATAAGTGTAGGAAGTTAGATGCAGCAATAATTTTGTGTTAAAAAAAAAAAAAATTAGTAATAGTGTCAATCTGTGTACTTATTTTGTTTAATTATTATTAGTTCAACATTTATAACTTATACTAAAACACAATATACAGGGTGGGCCATCGAAAACGAAACGGCAGAGTTATCGTGTTCGTCCAAGCAAATCGCTCGGACAGGTTGATTTTATTATCAAGGGGGACATCTTCTGCAATAAAGTTTTTGTGATTTTGAATACAACAAACAACAAAATATTTTAAAAACTCATTCATTTTTTATTAACTAAACAAACACTTATTTCAGAAAAAAGTAACACAAACTATTAACAAACATAAAAAAACCTTTTAAGCTGGAACGCATATGCAAGGAAAAAAATATTTCCCCTTGAGAATAAAATCGACCTGTCCAAGCGATTTGCTTGGACGAACACGATAACTCTGCCGTTTCGTTTTTGTTGGCCCACCCTGTATTAAAAAAGTTAATTTATAATTTGTATATAGATCATACAATAGAAAGACAATGATGAAAAATTAAAAACTGCAGCATCATATTTGCAAAAATAATGCTGTTAATCAGTTACAATGTGAAAAATGTCTTGTTAAATTTTGCATTTGATGAAAGTGTATTATAACTGTACTGTACATCATTTGAAAAAAAGTTCAAACTGACACATAAGACAATCAAATTACACAGCAATTTTATGTAACTAAATAAATTCCAAGTGGATATGTAAAGATATCAGATTGCGTTACATTTAATTAATTTATATATATAAATTAAAAACACACATTTGATGCTATCATTGCATGTTCATGTAGGATTTTTGTTTGATAACTCATTAACTTTTTGTAAAAAATATTTATACAAGTTTCATTGTTGTTATGAAGTAAAACAAATTAAAATCATCTCAAATGATTAAAAATAAGCATAAAAACTCATTTAAATAATTAAAGTAATTTAAAATCATACAGACCTGAGACGGCAACTCTGGCATTGCAACCTGAGACCCTGAGAGATGGAGTCCTAAATATTGATAAGAACACAATTTTAGAAAAATAGGCAAGACATTAATCATTTCCAAATTTTAAATATTTAAGATTTCTCGTACGCCTCTTCTCTGGCCCTCTTTTCGGCCGCCTTCCTCTGCTGAAGCTTGGCCATGTACGCCGTCATCCTCTCGTTGGAAGTCAGGAGCGACTTGGCGGCCTCCAGACTCTGGATCGGATGCTTGCAAGCGGCCAGCAATTTCGTCGTTCCCTCTCTCATTTTGATTTCCAGATCTATTTTTTGTTCTAGCTCATATTCCTATCAAAGAAAAGAAATTAAAACATTAATGAATAAACAAAATTTCATCCTTCACCATATTAAAACAGAGAGAGTCTGACAGTCAAGTCACTAATTCAGCCTGAAACTCTGTATTGGAAGACAGACGTTAACAATTTTTGAAATATTAACTAGCTTTAAATTTAATTTTTTCAAGTTTTTAAATCTAGAATGGCCTAGATTTTACATATTGAATGTTTTCATCACAAGTACCTTCTTCACAGTTGGTATTACCAACTGGAATTTTTGTCCATAGTCCAGTTAACCGGCTCTAAACAATCTATTAGACAATTTGCCACTGACTCAACAAACAAATCTAACAAACCTAATTCGGCCATGTCGTAATCTTGCGAGTGCAGTTAGAATTTTGTACTTGAAAGCCAACTACTAATACACAAAGAAAAAAATATAGAATAAAGCTATGAAAAATGTGGCAAAGAAAGCAAGTCAACTTGACAAAAAACAATAATATAATGTAACTTTCAATTTGTAAACTGTTTTTTTTTTAATATTTAGAAATTACAAAAGCAAGTTTCAAGAATAAAGTAAACCGCAGAAAAAATGTTTATTTGACACACACAGGGAGGGAGAGACACTTCAAAAGAAAGCAAAGAGTGCATTTGTTTAAGTACACAAGTTACCAAATCTTTTTATTTCTCGAAAGGAAAAAAAAATAATTTCAATAGTTTATGCCTTTATCCACTTAACAAAAGAGTCGTAGTGCATTAAAATATTTCTCGATAATAAAAAAAAACCCGTAAAATAACAACTAGTTGTAACATTAACCCAAAGTAAAAACTTTAAACTTTGCATATTCCGAAAGGCGATTGCTAAAAAGTCGGCCTGGCCATAGTTTTTATTAATATTTGACAATTCCAGAAACTTCGTTTTGTTATGAAGTCGCGACAGAAAAAGCTGTGACGCTATCGGAAAAAATCCCCGGCCAGTGATTCGATACATTATAATAGCAGTCGGTCAAGGTCACGAGTAGGAGAAGCCCACCCACCCGTTCCTATAGAGTTGAATGCACCTCAAAGTTCGATATTCGCAGATAATTTATACTTCCACTGGAACCCCTCTCTACCTTACTCTGTGGGTTTGAACTAGACACCAGCCGCACCCTCCGGAATCGTCATCATCATTACTATCATCATCAACACCGCGCAAGACTAGGCAAAAAGAGGCTAAGAAAGCGAACTTCTACTAAACTAGGGAGAAGACAGGAGAGAAAAATGTATATATAAAGTAATTTTCGAACGTTCGACCCCATCTGCACCCTGACCCACTTAGTTCTTACGAAGTCTCCACGTCCGTGACCGTTTTTTGGTCCGAATTTTGTAACGCTAATTCTCGCGTTACCGGCCTTCCGTCGTAGATCTTCGAAATCGTCCGCAATATCAAAAAACACATTGAAACGTATCAAAAAATACCGTCTAAATTCGGTAACAGTTAAGCTGGCAACCAAAATAAAAACAGACGAAACGGGCAGAGTGCCAATCCACCGGGCGCGCTCGAATTATGCAAATTTCAAAGACGGTTTTTCGAGTAATCCTCGAAATAAGTGAAATTCCAAGCGCCACTCCACGTTTACTGCCGCCTTTTCCCGACCTCCCGCTCCTCCTCCACAAGGAAAAAGTTTCAGAACAAAAACAGAATTACGATGCGGCTGACAATATGCCAAAAGATCCAGGAAATTGTCCTTGGAGGCTTTAAATTAACTTAGCATCATCTTTATTTTCATCAGCACGTCCGCGTTACTTCCTCTATTACCCAGAAGAGATTCGAAAACCGGTAACTTCCGGTTTTCCGCCTCACCTTTCACCCGAAACTTCCGATTCCCTCAGTCACGCGACCCCGAAGCGCTCCAAAAGGGGCAAGGCGGAAATACTTAAAATAGGCTCGACGTTTCGTTTTCGAGCATCTTTCTCGACGCGTATCAATAAACGGAAAGAGATTCCCGGATTTATATAAAAAAACGATTTGGCCATGGCTAACACGAGACGAGAAAGAGATCATCGTCTTCCTCCACGTCTTCGCCTTCCAGCTACGCCAACCCCGCGACACGCTCTCACCTGCAGGCTGTGGGCGATCTGCCTGATGAAGTACAGATCCAAATCTTGGATGACTCGCAGTCTGTTGGGTTTGACGACGATTTCCGGCCTCCTGCACGAGCCGTGATGAATGGGACCGAAACAAGAATAGTTCATCTCTGGTGCTTACCGGCGCGAACACCCCAAAAAAAACCACCTCCCGTTCGCATCGAAACGACTGGAGCCAATGAGCCGCACGCGGGGGTCGCTCGACAGAAAACTTCGCTCCGCCGCGAGATTACGACGAGAGTTGGCCGGGAGGGCGCGCGCGCTCGCACCGGCACGTGCTCCTCCGTCACACTCTCCTAACGGCGAGAAGACACCGTCCTCGACTTTCTCCGGTTAAGGCGAGGCTCCGTAACATCTTTTTTTAAGACATTTTCGAACAGATGTTACGTCGGTGACGTCGGCGCGTGGGTCGACGACGGTGGACGCGCGAAGTGGACCCGGTCAGACTCAAGGACGACCACTCCGTCGGGTTTGCAAACTCTGAGAAATTCCGTTAGGACTTTCTAAAGAGCCAGACCGGCGGCACCAAAAGTCGCCCGACCGGGAGAATTTATAATCCGCAGGATAAATTTCGGTACAGTTAATCCGAAAATCACCCGTGTCTAGCGCGCACAGCGCCAGCGCGGGTTCGGGACTTTTGTTTACATCCGATTGACAGCGGCTACTTAGAAGCGAAAAGTGTTTTTAGACGTTATAGAATGCCGCCGACTATAAAAACACAAATTCGTTAGAAAAAAATAAATACACGAGAAGTATCAAGTGTTTAATGCACAGTATATTTATGCTTGCGTTTTTTCTCGGAAATTTCGGAAAGGGGTTGGTGTTGGAACGGACGAAACGCGAACCCACGTGTCACCAGCAAAACGGGTTGGGTAACGCGTGTAAGTTTAAATGCTTTCGCGCGATTTAAAGTTAAAATCCTGTAGAATAAAACAAGCAAATAATTTCTAAATTACACAAACTTCCAGGAATTACGCAAAAATCGAAGCGGCCAAATTCTTAGAAGTGACGTTATAAAACGAGCGAAAAAAGCAGATGATTCGCTTCGCGATCGAAATTAAGCGGGACGAAAGACGGAGAAAACACGACGATTTGTCTAAGTCTATTCCATAAATAATGCCTTTTTTTAAGGAAGGCGGATGGACGAATCGACAGACGTTTTTTCCGTCGAAGAAGCAGACAATTAGATTTCTGCTGGAGGCGTCGAAGCTGCCAAAATGTTTCTATATTTAACAGCGAATAAAAGGCGCCGAATCCTGCGGGGTTAACAACCTGTTACTTAAGAGAGGGAGTAAAAAGTGCCGCATTTTCCGCTTTAAAAAAATAATCTTATTTTTGAATCCTTTTTTTCGTGTGGCGACACCAAACATCGTCGCAGCCGTTCGACTTCGTGTCTTACCGGCAAATTTTAATGTAAAAAATTCTCGTGCGTGAATACATTCCGGAAGAAAACGAGAATGAAGCTGGATTCTACAGTCGAAACTTCTCTAGAATCGTTCGAATTTCGAAATTTTGAAATAACTAGGCGCAGAAACGAGTCTTTCCACGTGACTTTGAAACGGTCGACTATATTAAAGACTGTTCGAACTTCAAATTATAAGCTGCTTCACCATCTTCGAATATAAAGAAGAGTTATAAGCAATGGTTCGATTTTATCTGATGGCAAACTCCAATGATTTTATATAAATAGACTACTCGATAAAATCTGCAATTCTATCGATCGGATCTAACCTCGGAGAATGCGATCGAAAAAAAGATGAGGGGGTAACTCGCTGGCATGTTCTAGAAATTGTAGATTAATAAAACGTTTGGAACCGTCTTAAGTCCTTCGGGATTTCCGAGAAGTACAAGCTCTGCTAGGGATCGTCTTTAAGAATGACGAATGACGGTAAAATCCCGCACGAACGGAGGAGCCAAAGAGAAATACGAAGGACAAGATGTGGAAATCCGGATTTAATTTAACCGAAGGTAGATTTAAACGGTTTGGAGCGAAATTTGACAGCTGTCACGTGATAGCCAGGGCGCTCGTGTGAACGACTACCCGTTTTTCCAAGGGGTCGTCGCCGAAAACCGGTCGCACGGCCTTGATTTCGGTGATGAATCAGACGCTTCTCGCGTAAATCTAGCTTTATTTGGGAAGGAGATTGGTCTCCCCAGCAACCTGTACTCCCGGTGTGTCTAGATTTAACTAAAAGGATGAAAACCCGCTCGACTGTAGGCCCACTCTAAGAACTCACCGTGATTACGGACTTAGCCAAAACCGTTTCCAAAGGGGAATGGGAAAATTACCCATCCATATCGGCGATTCTATTCCGGATCCTTGGCAAAAAAGACTATAGAATCGCGAAGAAAATGTATAAGTAAGACGACGACCAAATTAAAAGGTATAGGATAATCACGGACGAGAAGTCGATAGTGATGGCCCGTAAAAATGAATATAACGTCTATAATCTCCACGGGAATACGAACTATTAAACTATTAATACACATTTTCCACGATGATCTATGGTTAGGAATTGCTAGCTCCGTGCCGTACGAGATAAAGATGGTCTTCATTTTCGTACAGTGAAGAGAGCGAGAGAAAAACACGAACCATGTTTTTTTGTATTTATACTGTTTTAGAAAATGCTTTGTTGAGCCGTAAACAATTTAAGTTACGCGCGAAATTGTATTTGTCAAAGAAAACTCGAGAATTACGAGACGAATACGGAAATATTCGCAGTAACAAAAAAATTTTAAATGCGGTTTATGCCTTAGTGTCCTTCCCAAAAAGAGGTAACCTTAAACGCCAATTACCGTGCAATAAATAAATATTACGTTTTGCAGAAAATTTTGTAATGGGTTAATAAACTCCCATTTGAAAAGTAAATAAATAAAAATGCCGATGTAGATCGGCATTTTTGACTGACGAAAATCGATCGTACTCCATTACGAGTCGGCCAAACCTGGTACGCGGCAACGCATACTAATAAGGATTCACCCAGACTCGAGAATCCGAACCTTAGATCAATATTTCTAAACGAGAGAAAAATATATTGGGAAAGAGGCGATTTTTTTCACGCTACAAAAAATTCGCCATAAAGATTCCCTTTCGAAATTAAAGAAATTCGAGTTCCAAAACGATGGGAACCATATTTTGGTGAACACGATCATCGACGTGACAGACGTCTCGGTGGAGATTCCGAAACCAGATTTGCCAACACGAAACCAGATCGACTATAAATAACAGACAGGAACATACAAAAAATTGAATTAAATCCATCAGATCGATCATCTTTAAGTTGTTTACTATCACGAAGAGTCGCATCCTCATAAAAATAGTTACGAGTCGACGAGCGTAAAAAAAATCCAAAACCAGAAATGTTTTTGGATTTCTGATGGTTAAATTTTTATAATTATCCTTCGAGTTCACAACTACCGAACGTATGGAATGAGCCTATTTATTGGGCAAAGTGGATTTAATCCACGTTTTTAAGCACGAGATCCGAGTAAAGAAAGTCAAAACATCGCGCCAAGTATCTTCGGAAATCCAGAAGTTCGAGGCGCCAAAACTTCACCTATCGTAATCCGCGCCATCTACCGACGACGAAGTAAATTAGCCGAGTTACTTCGACGATGGTTATCAGTTAACACAGATAGATAGGACGCAACGTTATTTTAGAAGTCGTTAACAACGCGGTCACGTAAAATAACGATGGAAAAAAGGTTCCTCCGCACTCGAACATAATTAAAAATCTTGTAAATGGCCTATTAAACCCGAAGACACTTCCTTATTCTTCCAAGAAAAAAAAATCATTTATAAACTCGAGTTGTGTGCACCACTCGTGTTGGCGCGAGGGGTGGAAAAAAAGTAGACGGACGAGTACGAGACGAGCGTTAAAACAGATCTAATCGAATTTTAAATCCGTTAGAATCGGGGAAAAAGGCGAAACGACTTAAATTCGGTCGACACCCACTGGCGGGTGGTTCGACAAAGACGCTTCTACGGGGTCATCGCGTGACCTCAACCCAACTACGTACACGCGTGCTAACATCTTGGAAATTTACTCAAATTTTCCGTTCTAATTTGGTAAAAAAGCGACTACTAGTACTTTCGTCGACGCAAACGACGTTAACCATACGCTTCACTCTCGAGCGGATCTTTTTCCTTGGGGGATAAATTTACTTCGGTCCTCATTTGCATATCTTCATTTTCCTCGTGAGTGTAGCGAATCGAGATTTCTCTATAAATATAAAAGTAGCACGAGTGCCGAATGTCCGTAGTAGAACATTTCATCAAGATAACGCGAAAACCGGCTGCCTGAAAACTAGGATTCTACGCCAAATTGTTTAAGGGAAATAATGAAACTCCGACCAAGTTTAAGCGTTTTTGAAACTTCTAATCGCCACTCGAACCAGAATTTCGGACTGCCGTCGCGAGAATAAACCATCGTCATTAACGCCTACGCGTGTAGGAAGAGGCTGGGTGCCAGTCGTTAATTACACCTCGCGCCAATCGACTGGAAAATTTTCGAAGAAAGACAAAATGAAAAATATTTTATTAAAAATAACCAAAATTCATTTTATATCCTGCTATTTATAACTACTTATAACCGCCGAGCGATAAGAAATCGAGATTTAAAGAAGCGCAACGTGAGAAAGAAGACACGACACAGTTATTGCCTACGAAAATAAGAAACCCGACAAAATCTCGCGCAAATTGCCGGAAAAAAGGCACCCTTCCGATTAAAAATATATGGCAACGCGTATTACTTATAATTGCACATAATACTTTCGGTAGGATCTAATCGAGATCAAAACACCGTGTCAATAATTAATGTTTATTGTATCATGGTGGATGCTCGCGAAGACGGAGGAGGAAACCGAGCGAAAGCGATAATACTTCGTACGAATCATTAAAAATGCCCAAAACAAACAAAAAATATACAATTAAGAATCCATAAAAAGTGCGGTTCTACCCTTAAAAAAGTCCCGTCTCGCTCGATCCGGGATCAAATCCTCCGTTGGATCACTCACAACTGCTCGAAGATTCGAGATGTAAAAATTTGATCCGGGGTTCGAGTGATTCGGACATTTTTCTCAAAGATTGGAACCTGGTGAAATCTCCACTGGCGAAAATTTGATTCTGGGGATTCGTTCCCATCGCCGATTTTCCCAGTGATTAACGAGAAATTATTATTCACAAAGGCGATTTTACTTAATTCTTACTCACCTTAGTATTTACATAACAGAATCGTACGCTGCTACTCCAAACGGCGTAGATATAGCGCTGCATCTGTTCGATCGCTTCCCACCTCTCGACTAGATGTAAGCAAACAACCGATGACAGGTAGGAAGCAAGTTAGCGCGGAGGGGGAGCAGATGTAGGCAACAGGTAGAGGGGAAGGTACTCTCGAACGCCTGCCGCAAATAGAGCGAGTAAAGAGCGAGTTCCTTTTTTTCCTTCTACTAAATTAAGGGGGCGGGCGGAAGAATTTCGACGATGCCCTTTACCGGGAATTTCGCATTACTCCGGTACTTACTGCGCGTGAAGGGGGAGGGAGACCGAGTGCAATACAGTGTGACGTCGTCCACGACGTCGTCTCTCCTCGTCGTCGTACGATCCGCCGATTTTAAAGATGGCGGCCGACTTACGGGTGGAGATAATCACGAGTGCGAAAAGGAATGCCACGTTGTTTCTGCGTGACGCGAACTTGACCCAAATTCCATTAATCGAATTTCACTATCCCGAAAAAATCCGGATTAACCGGGCCCTCCGCTGAATTTTATAATAAGAGAAAACGAGAAAACTTTAAATGGAAAATTGGGACCAGTATAATGTGTAGCCAAATTGCATTTTTCTGCCTCGTTCCCGAAATCTCGCGCTCAGTACTCACAATTTATGGCTCGTTTCGGCTATTTACGTCGCATTTAAGCATTATTATAATTACGGCAATGGTGTTATGTATGTAGAGCGTGTATTTGTTGACGTCATTAAGGTGTAAGCGAGCTTTGGTACGCCACGCGAGACAGTCCTCCTATTTGGCATGCTTGATACGTATATGTAAACACGAGATAAATTTCCAGAATATGCTATCATCATCATCATCTGTCATTTTTTTAAATATTATAACAAACGCAATGTCGAGGTGACGTAACAAAATTATCACGCAAAATCGCGGTTGATGAGTCACGGTTTTTCGTAAGGGCGGATTACTTTTAGGATTTCGAGTCCAAATTACACCCGAAAATCATTAATTTTAACAAGAAAATCTGTAACTCGTTATTTTACTTATACACCGAGAAATAAGCGCTCAATTCGAAATTTTATTATGATAGTAAGTAAAATAACTACTCTTCCGAAAAAACGCTTGTTACATTTAAATAGAAGCAACTAGGAAGTAGTAATTACTGTAGGAAAGAATTTTTTAACGCAATTATTGCTCAACAGAGTGGCCACAGTACAAATTGCGTTACACTATTGAGACAACGGGCAAGTTTTTAAGCTACAAATTACAATATGCCACCTTATAAAACTGGATAAATAGGACGTTTCTGATGGCTAAAAACCGTTATAACTAAAAATTTGAATGCCACACGTCACAAATTCGACGTACTTCACGTGGGTGGCGTGTAACAAACCCGGTGGAAAAATGGGAGACGAGCACATCCGTTGCACAACTACTTAAAAAGTAACCGCCCAAATTAATTCGTCACAAAAATACTTTATTCCAGAAAAACAGTTTCATAATGGCTATTTTTAGACTTTTTATTATCATTATATGTAACCGCTTTATCGCTCTTATTAGCGAATTTCTTAATTTCTGTTACGTATCTGTCCCTTATAAACAACTTAAAACTTGTTTCTGCGCCAAAGACGATAAAACACGCCCTGAGATTACAGAAAAGGTTATTCACACGGCATTAATATTTGACAATTGCGAGCAATTTATGCTAATTAACACGCTCCGTAACGATTTACGGCACCGTTCCTCGATTGGTAAGTGGCACCCCTGGCAATCACGTACATTACGTCTAGCGGAGTGTCGGTAGTTAAGAAATAAATAATAATAAAAACAGTTAGGAAGACTGAAAAGATGGGTGAAAAGTCGGAGAAAAGCGAAAGAGAAATTCGGATCCCGGATTGTGTGCCACGAAAATGAACTTAGAATCGCTCGATTGTCACGCGATTCAAATGTGTCAGTATGAAGTTTTAGAGCGTGAAACCTTCCCCACTTTTCAAGGTCACCCACGAAACTTTCTGTACTAATTCGAAAGAAACAATACACCGCAATAAAGAAGAGAGTCGTCCAACCGAGATAATCCAATTTTAATTATAGTTTTTACCTTTAAAGTGCCGACTTTTCCCGAAAGGAAAACGGTTACGCATCGAGTAACGAACTCTTCTTAATGATAAAAAAAAAATGAAATGATTTTCTGGCCCGTGACCTTCTCCCTAAACACGTCAACCGCACGCATACTTTCCAGACAAATTTGCAAATCTCTGACGCGCGATAATTGCCGAACGATGGTAATTTTATGTAAACGAAGCGTCAAGGAGCGACAAGAAGCTCGGAAGAGGGAAAAATATTTTGAAACATCGATAATTGAACCGAGAAAAACCTTTAAATTATGTACCCAACCGGCGCGCTACCTAGGCTAAGGGAGGATTCGAGCCGTTAAACGGGGAGGAAACGGCGCTAGTTCGCCCTAATTTTCGCAATTTCGGGACCGAAACACCGCGTTTTTTTCGTAGAATCGATCAAAAAACACGAAGGGTGAAGAATTACGTTAGAGAACACCAAACGGCTGTCGGCAGTTAGGCAATTTAGCCTCTCACCTGGGAGCAGGAAGCCGTGGCACTATCGTGACGAGAATCATCATCGTCCGGTGATTTAGACATGGAGATAATCTCCGAAATTCCACCATTTCGACATCTTCTAACGGAGCTCCTCCTACATTATCCCGCAGAAGGCCCTACACCCATCGATCCGAAAAAGAATCGATACAACGCTAGATGGCGCCTCCAAGATCTATGGCATACGCAAGTACCGGAGCTCATCGAATATCTCTTTTTTTTTTACCTTAAAATACGAATATCCAAATTTTATTCGTATTTCTGGCTCTTCGACCTTGGAATGTTACAAAATATTTTAACTTTTGGCTAAAATGGACCTATTGGAAAACTCTGGAGAGCAAAATCGAACGACGCGACGAAAGCGATTCCGCGCGACGGGCGCTTAAGTGGGTGCGGCGTCAAAACTTCCAAACGACAAATGATTTCCGACTAAATACTAACGATACCCATTAAATAATGATAATCTTAGGATATCTGGTGTTTTAAACAGAATGAAATAATAAAATTCATGACTCGACCGAAGCGATGCGACTAGTGCCGTCGCAACGCTTCGACGAATACAAATTTCTGCATTTTTATTCGAAAAAAAACATTATTAATTAAACGCTTTCCTAAATACAAAATAAAATTGAAATATATTAAAAATAATACGTTATTCGATACTTCTTACCGTATTTAATTAAAAGAGCCGACGGCGACACCGGATGCGACTGGCATAAAAAAAATCGCGTTATTAGCTAAAAACAAGCGTAAAATGTCTTCATAGTTATACACAACTCAATGATATTTATATTAAATTTTAAATTAAGGCTTTTAGAGGATAATTTCGTTAAACTAACCTTTCTCCGAAATATTCGCAAGCGCCACGCGACGCGACGCGCTCGAGAATGCCGAAAAATGACGGCGCGCTACCTAACGGCTTGAATTAAATAACTTTTTTTTTTTTAATTTAAACTTTGAAAAGTTAATTTTAAGTTGTTTTTACTTAATTTAAAGCTTTAAATTCAGTTTTTCGGCAAATTTTATAGCTGTAAAGAACGAATTTCATCAATTTTTGTTCAATTTAAATTAATTAAGACATTAATGGGGGGAGAGAAGCCGACCAGACGACCGTTGGCTCCAACGGACGCGAACGATATTTAAATTTATTTGAAAATACAAAGCATTTACCTTAAAAGTGGTTCTCCTGATGCATGCCGCATTCCATCTTTTCTTCTTTTTTTCGCTTAAAAATCTCAAATAATCGAAATTGTTTTCAAAATTCTGAAATTGAATCGTCCGCCTTCTCAAAGTGGGAGCCATTCCTACTCCGCTTTCGTGCGACTTCTAGTGGCTAATTCCGCAATTATTAAATCTCCATTTTTTTTTAACTTTTTTTTTATTCTTCTAACATTTATTTTGTATAAAAGTGCAAATTAATTTTATTTTAGTATTAATTAAAATTATTATATGATTTATTTACGAGATAGTATCGTAATTAATTTAAATCGCGGTTCTTCCATCGGCCGCCATATTGAATTTTTAATCGGCAAATTATTATTACCGTATATATTCATTTTAAAATATTTTAAATTATTCTTTGTGTTTTGCATTACTTAAGGGATTTGAGATAATTTTCTACATTATATTTTTTTATGATACGTAGAAGCTCATTTGATTTACGGAAGAACTCGTTAATATCTTTTAATGTATCAAACAGCGGCCGTAATTATATATTTACCAACGCTTTTTGGGCACGTGTTTTTTCAATACAAATGCTGAATAGAAGAAGCAACTTGCCATTCGTATCGGATGAACGCGTGACAAAAAATTCTTCCTCGTTCGATATGCGGAAAGATATTAATTTACTCTTTCTTCCCCGTGGGCAGTAAACAAAAAACTTTTTTAGCAAGCCCATTACGGGTTTGCCGAAACAACAGCTCTCTTAGTGGGCCGGCTAGGTGGTGAGAATCGAGGCCCGACATATCCTGACGGACTACCCTGAAAAATTCCTTGGGTTTTTTTATTCCTGTTTCCCCGAGTAGGTTGCCATCTTAACCGCTCATCTCCAACTTCTCCTTCGACAGAGTTTTCTTTACTTCACATTTTAGTAACCATTTTTTGCTATTTTAATTGTTTAAAAAATACCCAAAGTTAACTGAATTGAGGTATGGACCGATTAATGCCGCGGAAGGCAACTGACACTTCTTAATCGTACGCATCGTAGGTGTGGCCAGATACACAAAGTGGTCACCCAGATAAGGAGGGACGAGGCCCAACATATCTGGGATGGACCACCCAAAAAACTTTCGATTGCTTATCTTGGATTTCATTCCTATACAACACTTGACTGATTGCCTTAACTGCTCCGGCCAGCAATCTCGGCGAAATAAAACTATTATTATGGGATATTATAAACTTATTCTGTATAATGTAAGTTTATTGATTAAATGATATATAGTGTGATTAATTTTACTTCAAAAAGCCACTTTTTATTAAGAATTTTAACACAGTTTAGTATTATGAAAGGAGACAAGTAGATAATCGAGATAATTCGGTCAGTATTGAACAATCTGTCCTGGATTAATTGGGTAACTTTTCCTTTTGAAGTGCCTTCAAAAAGAAAAAATGGTTTCTTTAAATGAATTAGATCTTTGTCTTATGAGAATGATTATTCATCTGTTATCTAGTTTCTGTGTCTTTGTTTTGAAACAGCCAATTTGTGTAAAATTTTAGATTGGAAGAATCCTTCGTAGTTTGCAACTTGGTTTGAGATTTCTCAAAATTGGAGTTTTATACGAGGTTTCATAAAAAAATACTTGGATTATACGCATAGCTTTATACTTATCAATAGTAAATGGAGGGAGAACTAGTGGCACTATTATTTGATCAGCAGTTAAGTTAATTGAGATTGAATTTGTACCAAGTTTTTATTTTTTGAGGCAAACTAGTTTCTGCATTTCAATTTTACTTTGTCTTGGTAATTTTTTTAAGATTGAACTGATCAAACAGCAGCATCCACATGAATATTAAATTTGGTAAGATGGTGATGGGAACATTTCTGCTTTCATTGAAGTTGTTTCATTTGAATACTTGCTTGAGCAAAAATTGTGGTTGCTCCATTACAACAATGCACCACCTCGTGCTTCCCTACTGCTTTGACTATTTGTAGCATAGAATAAATCACTCTCGATCTCCATTTGCCATATTCACTAGACTTTGTCCCAAAAAACTTCTGTTTGTTTGCAAAACTGCAAAATTTGTTAAAAGGAGGCATTTTCAAACTATTGGAAGTAAGAAACTCAGATGCTGGTCTAACAAAGTAAATCCAAAAACTGCATACGGACTTATTCAAAAATAGAAATGGCATTGTTAGCAGTGCTTAGTTTAACTGCTACAGATTATCACCCAGACTTTCAATATAGTAATCTGATGGAACTGGCAAACCCACAACAGTTTCATGTGTGAAGCAATATATCATTATGACAACATCTGACACCTCTAGATCAGTGCACCTACAAAAATTTCTTACAAAGACAACAGTTCAAATCTGGATCGCTCATAGTTGCACACTATGAGGGATTTAGATTTGTAATTGTATGATGATCAGAATTTAAACTTGGTAAGATTTGAGAGAAACTCGAAGACTATGTAAGTTGGAGAAAGCAGAAAGATTCCCCTTCTCAAAGATTGACCACGGGAAAATGACAATGGGTGTAACTGGTAGTGTAACAGAGAATAAATATTCTTGTGACTAGTTCAGTTGACCTCAAACTTCCATTTCTTGCAAGCTCCCCTGGAGATGAATGTTCTTATTTGAATCGATAGTGGTAACAATCCACTATGTAAATCACTGTATAAGTATATTGTGTAAATTTGTAAATAAACTACACTACAAGTAGTTTAAACCTATGGCTCTTCTAGAGTTACCTGCAGATGAGTGAACTTTCACACCTCACATACACTGAAAAATCATCACTGTAAGAAATGATACTTTATTTAATACAAAGTGAAGTTTAAAATACAAATAACTAAACTAAAACACAAAAGTAATAATTTTATATGACAAATGACTGTAATTTATAAATGCAGCATTTAGTTTGTGATGTTTATTTAGGTTTAGTTTCTTGATCTGTAACGTGCCTGCAATATATGGCATCCGGAGGAATCTCCTTGGGAGGATCTTGCTCGTAGAGAAAAGAGGATGCTATGGCCAGAACAGTTCCATCCTGACTGAACGCCAATGAAGATATGCTGGTGGGATATCTGTGAAACTGGCAGAGCCGTTTCTTGTTGAATCCGTCCCAGATGTTCACGTAACCGTCGGATCCACCCGTGGCAAAAGTGTTATATACGTTGTGGAAACTGATGGCATTGACTGGATAAATCTGTTCTATGCCATTACTTTCTTTGATTCTGTGACACTTGAAAGCGTATTTCTTCTTCTGCACTTCAGGACTGGGATCCAAATACTCGACGGCGACACGACCTAAACAATAAAGCTTTTATTAAAAAAAGTATTTGTATTTCTACAACATTGAAACACATGATAGAATGAAAAGCCAGAATAACCACAGTGTGTTATAAAAGATTATATTCTGTATTGTGTGCATGAATTAGAGAAATTTCAGTTAGTTTATTGTTTATCATAGATAGAATGAAAAATTACTTAAAACTTATTTTATTTATTAAAAAATTTCATAAAAAGAAGTTTGAGAGAAAGACAAGTTGTTTTTTTTTTTAATTCTTCCTGCCGTGGATACTAAAACCCATAATGCTACTTACATTTTAGTAGATAATTTACATAATTACAACAATAAATCATTTTTAGTAATTCCAGCAGCCATCAACTAAATTTTCAATATTAACATCTACATCCTTCACTGTGTACTATAGAAACAGTGTAAATTTTATAACAAGGTAGAATCATTTGTAATTTATTGTTTCCATATGATTAAACCTGTTATAACAATTTTCCTATATCTATATTACAAAAATCACAAAACAGGTAATATTCAGTAGCTCTCTTCTAAATTCTTCTGATATGGAATTAAAACAAAAAACTAGTTCATTTGCTATAATTTTGTGTATACTTCTGCAAGAAATAGTTTGCAAAAGCAGTAATCTTTGCTAACTATTGTCTCTGGGACTAAATTTATGGGTGTGTTTTCTAGTAAAGGTGCTTTACATATGCTGTTGGAGGGTGCTTTAAGCAATTTCTGCTTTTGTAGGAAACACTTCTACACCTCACCTACTCAGCATTGTGGTTTGGCTCTTTGTGTACATTATTTTGTACGAATAAAAATGTTTAGTCAGAAATGACACAGAATTGTCACAGAGACTATAAAATATCAGAGGCAGCTGATCGAGAAAATTTGATATTGCCTAAAAATACAATTATCTACATGGTAAACAAAAAAAAATATAACACATGCATTCATCATTACTAATAAATCTTAATCTTTTATTCTATTCTGACACAAACATCTTATATGGAAAATTGCATTTTTAATTTTTCCAATAACCAGTTTAAAATACATTTTTGAATGTCACACTTTTCATTTGAGGTAAATTACATAACATGCTTATAATATATGGTGTCAGTCATCTTAAGTTTAGTTTTCGGCACTTGTGAACCTTGCTGCAGTAGTGCTACAGTGGCTAAATTAAAGTGAAAATAGCTTAACCATCTTTTAACAAAGCAGCTTTACTACGAAACATGCTCTAAAATAATTAACAAATGTTAACATTTTTATTAGGACACTGCCATTGCTTCTAGAATGAGATGGGTAAAGTGAAAAATACATTTTGTAAAATACGAGGTTGTCTCTTTGCTTTTTCATTTCATGCACAAAGTTAGTGAACAGACTATGTTTGTTTTAATATTGCATCATCTTATCACCTGACCACTCCATTGTGGGCCTGGCTAAAAAAGTTCTGTTAGTGCCCACAGGACAGGAGTAAAAAAAGTACTTTTGAGATGGTGGCACTCAGTAATGAATTAAGTTGCTAACATTAACTTTAACCATAATTTCCTTAATTAAATATAAAAAATATAAAATTGCAACGTTTAACAATACTTTGTTTCCGTTTGTTCATCCGTCGTTCGCTCCAGTTGACAGTCCACAAATTTACATATACGGAGGCGACCTTTCTTTAGAGGCTGCTGCCTCCGCAATAAAAACGCAAATATGGTAAAAAACGTCCTCTGGTGCTATTGCCATTTTTACATAAAATTCATTTTGAAGAAAAAATAATAAATATAAACATGGCTGACGGTATTACATTTAATTAAATATAAAAAATATATAATTGCAACATTTAACAACGTGGACGTTTTTTACCATATTTGCATTTTTATTGCGGAGGCAGCAGCCTCTAAAGAAAGGTCGCCTCCGTATATGTAAATTTGTAGACTGTCAACTGGAGCGAACGACGGATGAACAAACGGAAACAAAGTATTGTTAAACGTTGCAATTTTATATTTTTTATATTTAATTAAATGTAATACCGTCGGCCATGTTTATATTTATTATTTTTTCTTCATAATTTCCTTACTTCTATAAGGAAATTATGCGTCTTCTGCCCACTCTCTACCTTTGCTATTATACCATAACCATAACCATAATTTCCTTACTTCTGTAAGGAAATTATGGTTAAAGTTTCCCAGATCCATCACATAATGTTACAAAATAGTAAGTAGATCTGAAAATGAACTTTGAATTCATAACCTCACAATGCCAAATTATATTTTTCATGTAATTTTCAATGTAATTTGACTGTGAATCTTTTTGCGTGTTTTTGCACGAGTTCCATTAAACTCTTACATACTCTGAAGATAAATACAGTGGGTGATCGGTTAATGAACACTTTTGCAAAAGATTTTTATGTTCGGACAATGAACACCCCATAGAACAAACACAAGAAGCGACGTAAAATAAGGAATACCAATTGGTCTTCCCTTGTCTTTGGTCAACAATTCGAAACTTTTCGGAGTGCAGGAGATGTCAACATCGATGCTCAAGCCAGTATATACCAATCGGATAGTATTCCTCCAAACTTTAAAACTCTCCCTTGTAATTCCAGCCTTTTATTTTTCTGACAAAACAATTCTTTTATATATTCGCGAGACTGTTGGGTAGGCACTCATTAAGTTTTGCGTCTGTTTTTCTTTTCGAAAGGTGAGAGTATAATAGCAAAGGTAGAGAGTGGGCAGAAGACGCCTAATGTTGCTGGGCAGTATGGTGTGAACAGGTCTACAGTAGGCCGCAGTTCAATCTTATTTAAGAAAGAAACTGTATAATCAAGAAGACTTAAGCAGCTAAAGGAGTAACAAAAATCGCACCTAAAAAATAAAGAACATCGAAGAGTTCATAATGGAACCTGAAATAGATCTGACAACAGAAGAACACCAAGAAACTCAGCGAGATATGTTTTCTTCTGAAAAAGAGGATAAATGCCGATATCTGTTTTTAAAGATCCTTTGAAGAAGTGGGAAGATATCAGAACAATGGTCTTAGAATGGCATCCAAACCAGGTTGAGGCTTGGGGATTTCTACAATTGCAATGCTATTAATTACTTATGAAAAATTCTGAAGAAGCGAGAAAAGCAATTGACATTAGACAGATTCTTTAACCCTTTCAAATGGAAAAAACATGACTAATAAAAACGCAAGACTGTGTATGTATGTATTTTTATTATTACATATGAATAAACGTAGTAAGAAAGTATATATTTTTTTACTTTTGGGGGTCTCCAGAACGAATTAATTAAATTCCCATTAAAACCTATGGTAAATCGACGATCGGTTAACAAACAAAGACTTGGAATGGATTATGTTCATTAACCGATCACCCACTGTAGTCCTTTATCAGTGTGAAAATTTCTATGCTATCATCATTTATATCTTTAAATAACAAAGTCCTGGTGTTAGCTATTTAAAGTTTGGCCACCTACATTTAATGTGCTCTGGATTAGTTTTGATGTCCAGTCCAATCATAAAAACTGGATTGAATTTGACACTGAATGCATCCATAGTAGGTCATTACAGTTTATAATTATCATAATTAATACTCTACCTTCTATCGAGCTAAGGACGTAACCTTGTTTATTTGGAAAACAACGAATGCAACGGGTTTGATATTTCAAGCTGGACTCTCTTCTCTGTTGAACGTAGCCGACGTTTCTCAAGTCCCATACGAGAACTCTCCTTCCTGCTGTGCCAACTATTAATTTATCTTTACATACAGCCATAGTATACACCTGAAATTTTTTAATATTTAAGATATCTTAATATGTATCTAAATTAACATATATATACATTATAATTACAATAAAATGTCAATATTATGAAATTGTAGGATCAACAGAATAATTTCTTATAGTGAATTTCATTACACTGAAATATAGAAAACAGTATCATTGACAACAAAAGAAAAGTAAACTTTTTACCTATTTCATTAATATGATCTCTCATTCATAGAGGGTTAAACTTTTATAATGTTTACATTATAAAAGTTCAACCCTTTATGAAGTTCCCTAAAATTTAAATTACAATGACAATTGCTAAATTGAAATATTTTTCATTAGAATGTTACATGCATTAAGATGCACAGTAAATTAGTAGAGGATTGAAAAGAAATTTGTTTTACTGATAATTTCATTATATCAGCATTTTTTATGGTAACATTTTACAGTACTTTTCTTTTAAATAAAAGTACTTCATAAAGAGAGACATTTAATTTAAAATAAACAAATCACATATTCGTATCCAAAAATTTTAGATTCGATTATTAAATAAATATAAAATTATGATGCACTAAAAATTTGCAAATTATTTGGCTAATAAAATTCATAATTTGCAAGTTCTCCAAATGTATTTTCCTCCAGTTCCCTGCATAAAGTTTATATTCTAATTAATAAATTAAGCAACCTTCTGTATACTGATTCTGGAAACTAACTAAATTGCAACTTGTACTCCCAGAATCCAAGAATTTGTTTACTCCAAGTTGTTTAATTCTTAAGATATTATAATGTTATTGTACTATCCTACAATATCATCCTCCATGTACCATCCCATCAAACTCTAAATTTGTTGTTCTTATATACAGTCGACCCCTCCTATAACACAGTAGATACGTTCCAAGTTTTATGAATCCAGCTTCTAGGAGTCCAGCCAATCACAGCCCGGCACGTATGCAGTTTACGGACTATGGCTGTTTGAAAGGTTTCTTTCATAAAATTAATCGATTCTAGACTAATTCGACTCGACATTTCCAAAATATGTATAATTTTTTGGGAATAATCCGTATAAACTATGCTATAAACAAAAAATTGTAGGATTACTTACAAAGTGTGCACCATTCGACTATGCCGTTGCTTAAGCTTGTTTTCATTGTGGAGATTGTCATCGAATGGCGCTCGCGTGCTTCCCGATAAATTATTTTTTTTGGTGAAAAATTTGCCGAACTTTGGAGACATCATTAATATAAATATAATTTTTATGGACATTAAATAATAAATGGTTTTTGGTAGGTCCGCTGCTCGTTTAAACTCGACGGTTTGTGCAATCCTGTTGCGACATGAGTTGGTGATGACGTTTTACCGAATTATAGGAGTTTTTTAGCATGTTTGTACGAATACTGTCGCAACTTTTTCGTCGTGATATAGGAATCCGAACTATAGGAACCCATGTTATGGGGGTCTACTGTAAACCACATATTGCTTCAATATTTTCCATATTTATTTTTCTATACTACCAAAATTATAAAAAATAATGAAGACTTTTTACATTTAGATTAAAAAAAAACCATAGAAAAGCTATATATCATTTTATATAATTATTTTATGTAATTTTATCATTTTCTCATATATTGTCATATGTTTTATCCTTTTACTTCAGCTTAATTTATTGTTATTTTTAATTTTTAATGTGTACTATTATTATTGTTATATATGGAAAATGTTTTTCCTTTGCCTTATGTCATCATCTCTATTGTGTATATAAATGGATGAATGACTTTTCTAGTGGTGTGCTCCTAATTTGAGAATTACAAGGTTAAATAGTAAACATTTTAAAATTTCACAAATAAAATTCATAAAATATAATTAATTGGAATTTTTTTATTTCCATAAATTTTATTGCTTGATGATGATACTATGAAACCAACATGCTATGAAATTTTTAAAATATGTTTCGTTTATTAATTTTATATTAATAAAATGGAGGCACATTAAAAACTGCATTTTGTAATACTAAAAAATGCATTAATATTATTGACAATCAACCAATATTTCAGATAACTCTAATTTAGAAATATGAAAGAACTGCATTTAAAAATTCTTACTTTTTCAGATTGCGTTAATGATCCAGCACTGCACGGAGTCCTTGGATCCCACAGCTTAACTGTCTGATCCCAGCTACCAGTGACGGCCACATTCACGTCGGGACAAAATTCGACACATTTTATTGGTGCGTCGTGATTTCCCACAATAGTTTCTGAAAAACAAAGACCAATAAAATGTCAAAACAACAAAGATCATTAAGGAACAAAAACAGATTGATTTTAATAAATTAATGGAATATACAAAAAAATATAGAGAATAAAATTATAGTAAATTAAATAAGAAATTTAATTACCCAACTATTAATTAAAAGGAAGGTGATTAACTAATACTGTTGTAAATAAATAAAATATTTGTATTTTTTGCCAAACAATTTTGATTTTAATGGTCTAAGCTGTTATAAGGGCATTTAGATAGTGCAACAAACACGCCATAAAATTTGATGAGAAACAGATAAAAATAGCAAATAAATATATAATTTAAAAATCAGAAAGTAAAATACTAATTGGAAAAATACTTTAATATTGATTATAAAAACAAAAAATCATAGTAAATAAAGGTTTGCATCTATTTAATTTTAAAGTTTTAAAAGTAAAAACATTTCTACAACATAATTTAACAATACTTCAAGCAGTTATGTCTAAACAGGGTGTGATAAAGACAGGAGATCCATTGAAAGCAAGAAAAACTAAATTTAAAAATATTACTAGTAGATCTTTAAGCAATAATTTCTGTAATAATAAGCTAAAAATTTAGATAAAAATTCTGAAATTACTGAAATTCTTAGTTTATACTGTAATACAGATGTACACAGAGGAGAGAATTTTGTTTCCAAAATACTGCATATTCATGTATGCAGTGGTGATATTCGAAATATTTAACAAAGGGTTCGCTAACAGAATATTTTTCCTTAACTTTTTTTTCGCTCAAATGGTGCATTAGCAACTTTAGCGCAAAAACTGACCTTAAGATATCCATGTAAATAAAAAAGATGCGTTCGCAAAATTAAGTCAGTTAAAATTTAACATTGTTTATGCCAGAACTATATTTTTTTTTTTAAAAATAATAAAAAAGAGTGTTCAAAATGGTTTATTTTGTACATATTTTAATATTTTTCATTCAAAATATTTTATAAACATAAAAATTGGCTTTTTTTTAATCAGAAAAAGTCATAGGGAAAGCAGTTAAACAAGAAAAACTTTTCTAAATCATTTATTTTATCGTTAGGTATTATTATAATAATAGACAGATGTCATCGTCTCTCGAAATACAATATCTTTCTTATTTCGCTGTTGATAGCCCGACACGTGTTCCGCAGCCATCTTGTATTTTCTCGCGCGCGTGGGATTGTGGGATCTCTCTTATGACTGGATCTAGTTTCGAGAACTCTCTCGAGTCGATCGCGATTGAACCTCGTTTTAGTCGAGATTGAAACGGTCGATGGAGGTTGCACTAGGCGAACAGGGTATAAGGCTCTAGTTTAGTAGTGTTACAGAGTATAATACGTATATTTTAATATATTTTTTAAAAGAAACAAAACCACTGAGAAATGTTACGTGTGTTTAACAACGGGTTCGGCCGAACCTGTGCGAACCTGCTGAATATCACCACTGCATGTATGAAAACATTTAATACTTTGGAAATAAAGGTTTTCCAGCAAATTTATCTGCTGTCACATCATATATATATATATATATCTGTATATAACAGCAGATAAATTTTGGTTCTAATTACATTAAATAAAAATTGCCATGACAAATATGACATTTAAAAATACAAAAAAAGGTCAACTTTGCCAAGGGAACAGTTATTGCCTCATATAGTGTGTGAAGGGACAAAAACTGGACTAAGACTCATCTACGTATGTATAGTCAAAAAGAAGTATTTTTCTATAAATTTGGTTCTAATTGTTTAATTTATTGGTTGTAGAATGTTAACTGTATGGTCTGTGTCTGTACAGTTAACATTATAAACCGATAAATTAAACTAAAAGAAAATTAAGAGAATTTATTAAGAGAACTAAATTAAGAGAATAAATTGAAATGTAACTTTGTTACCTGTGCTGGAATTAAAATCAAACAGTTTTACTTGCTGATCTAATCCACCACTCCAAGCATGAACTGCATCCTAACAAAAATTTTCATAAAATCGAGATTAAAAAATATGCATAAAAAGTTAAATAACTACAAGGTGTGATGATAAAGTTTGAGAAATGGAATTGTTACTGTTAAGGTTTTATGCATATTTGATTTTGGATGTTGGTTTCTTCTCCATGGCAACGTGCGGCTTTGTATAGCTGAGGTGGTAGAGGAGTTTCTGGCTATGCATGAATTGTTGAGCTAAATTGTCCTTACTCAACTGATTTGGCTCCAGCTGACTTTTTTGTTTCCAAAATTGAAGTTGTCAATGAAGAGAGAGAAATTTGTAGATATTCCAGACATCCAGGCAAATGTGACATCCATCATGAAGGCAATACCAAAAGATTTTTGTAAACCTTTCCAGTATTTACACAAACATTGTCAAAAATGCATTATATCATACAGTGATTAATTTGAACATCAGCAGAGTTTTGTTTTCCTTATGCAATGCAATCACTCTGTTTTTGATCATACACCAAACTTTATTGTCACACCTTGTATTAGATTTTTTTTAGTAAATCAATGCATAAATTTTAACAAAAATATTTAACAATATCAGTTACTAATGATGTAATGAACTTGTTTTAAATTGTACAGCTATAAAGAATTAAAATGAAATGAAATAAATTGTATAATTTACATACTTTTTTGTTCACATTACGCTTTCAATATTTAAATAAAAAATTTTCCAAAATTAAATTTTTAAATTAATTTATGTAAACCAATGTAATTTGAAATAATGAAGTATCATCTTAAGAATTATTGCAAATACCAATTTTTCAGCTGCTTGTATCTTATAAATTTAAAGGACATTAATTTACAAAAGCATTTTATAATTCAAATTTATATTGTAGCCTTTTAAACATATGTTTTTATTGTGTTATAGACAAAAAGTTATAAAGTAAATACAAAGATAAAACCACAGACATTTTTAACTGATACAAACAACCCAATATTATTATTCAAACATACAGCCAGATTCTTGTTTAGGCAACATTACGACTAATTAATTATTAAGAAATTACATAATTTTGTCTAGATATACAGTTAATCTGCCTTCTGTGTTAAATTTAATAATTAGAAATATATTAATTTAATTTAGAATATTCTGGAAGAAAATATTGGCCCAGAGAGGAATTTGAACTTACATCTCCTGCTTATTGTGTGGATGCATTGCCGGTTACACTACCCAGATCTTCATCTGATCTTTGCTTCCAGACTAATTAATTAGTTTAGAAGTTTAGATATAATTATACTGGTAACTCACAGTGCTGACTGCAGACTGTGACTAAGGTTTTTGCCAAATAAAAAATAAATGATAGTAATAATCAAAACAAACAAAAGATTTCAATTAGATAATTCTTGAAAATTGCATAATCCTGCATCTGCAGGTGTACAGCAAAGCTACTGGTAATTCAACAATCCAAACATAGGGTTTAACTATATTTATTCTGATTGATAATGTACATTAATAGATGCACTATGAGCCAACTTACATTTTATAGCCCCTCATTAGTAACCGAAAGTTTCAAGTTCACTTTTTTATAATTTCTATATAGATAAGAATGAAATATTGTTAAAATAAAGTTTTAATAATTATGCATTTAATTAATACAGTAAATTTATACAGTATATAATTAGTTATATACTGTATAAATTTGTTATACATATGTTGAGAAATTTACTACCAATGCAGATTAGCACTCATTTTTCATTTTAAAAAATAGCATAATATTTTAATAGTAGATAGCTAAAGTTAACTTCTGTTTTATCATGAACAATATAGTTGTATCATCATTATTTATGTCTATTTGCATAGAGCTATATATATATATACAGGGTGTGCCAAAGGTCTCTATACATTGACACAAATCAAACCCACCAGTGGCCAAATAAATAAAACCATTGAACACTGATAGTTGGTCATTGGTTCAACCCAGAACACAATGCAGTGTTCTGGGTTTTCTTCATGTGTCTAACATCTGAACAGAATCCAATTTTCACATAGGAAGTCCTTATCTAGCAGGACTATTGGATCATCTGTGTGTTTGGTTGCCTTACTCCATCAATCCACTGACACAAATTTTAATGCTGACATTTTAATGTTTTGTGAATAAAGTTACATTTCACATTTGTATATACGGAAACTTTTTGGGACACCTTGTATAATGTATGTGTGGGGGGCTGTGATTATGTTAGAGTGAGTTAGTAGAAAACAATAATAAATTTTACTCTACAATTTTGATGTACTTAATTTGTATTTAAAAAAAATACAGTTTTCTTCTTTTTCATTGTTTTCATATAAAAATATATATATATTTAATGTCAATTTATGTTCTATACAAGAAAATATATTGATAAGAAAGAATAAGAATTATGAGGTTCCAACACAATGTTGTTATTAAAATTTAATTATAAGATTTCCTAAGACAAAAGAAAGAAAAAAAACCTAAAATTTCCCATTGTTAAATCTGACCAAAGGCCGCGTAAGTTGTGCAAGTTATATGAGACAAAGATGAGGAGAAAAAACTATTAATGTCAAACAAACACAACGCAAAGATGAACGATGCAATAGATTGTACACGAATATCAATCAGGAGAGATGGGAGTTTGACAGGACACTTGTATACAAGTGGTTAAAACTTAGAAAATTTAGAAAAGGGAAAAGATTGAAGGTAAAAGGGACATTGTTTCAATTTGTTAAAATTCTAAATATCATAGAAAAGACAACAATGAAGTAAAATACGAGCGCAGAGTTCAAAGTTTCATCAACACCTCCTGTCCAGAGTCGATGAATGGTATCAGATAGACTCTACAAAGCAAACTTTACTTATGACCTGAACAGGTCTTGTCTTTCACCAAGGGACAGAAGAGGGACCAATTGAGAAATGAGAAAAGGGATGTGGAGCCAATCAGAAAGGCAGATGGAGAGAGAAAAATAGATAAAAACTCCTAAATCCATGGTCAAGATAGAGTTTTCTGTCTATTGTGCCCAATCTGCAACCTGTGCCACTACAGACTTAAATTGTGTTGCTGACGCCAACTGACAGAGCCTCCCCACCTGCCTTACGAACTTGTCAATGCCACTGCCCCAGGGCCACCTTCGATTGATGATCAAGAAAACATCATCAATGCCCAGGATATCTGAACAGCCAACTATTTTAAATCCAAACTAGTTTGTTCATAGTGTAAATTAATCTTATGTTAAAATAAATGGTTTTTATTAGACACTTGTCATCTTTGTTTCCTCCACCATCACCCACATATGAACAGACCCTAGACCATCACTGATGCAGAATTAACTAATTCCCCCTAAAAGTCGGCTTCTTACAGAATAAAGCAGTACCTTAAAGATATAATTCTTGACAGAAAAATTCAAGTATAAAAGTTAGATCTTGTCGTCATAAAATTCCTTCATGCAGATGTAAACTAGGAAAACCTCCTTTACTTACATAATAAATAGTTGACCCAGTGGGGGCATTGCTAAATGTATCACTGTTAACATAGTTTAAAATATTCCTGTATTCAATGAAAAAAAAAAACCACAAAAATAATTAACAAAACTCAATTGGAATTTTTCCCATAGACTTACAATAAGAATCCGAAAATCAATATACTATTGCTATTAACTGTTTTTTGAAAAATTTTTTATGCAAGGCATAATACATTAAGGTGTGTATATACATATATAGTCAGTTTTTTGAGAAGAATGGGGAAAAAACCGGTATTCAAAAATATTTGGAACAAGCTTTGCCATATTTCAAAATGTTGGGTGGCATGCACTACTTTGTTTATGTTTCTACAATGTAAAATTTTCCTATTGACTTGGCATGGGGACTTTCACTCTCAACATCCTCATTCTAGATCAAATTTTAAAACTCAGCCTCCATCATAACGTGCTATTTCATTAGTTCTATTAATGTGCAAAATTTTGTTCAAATCTGTTGAGTCTTTGCAAAATGTGTTTCAGTGAATTGTCAATTTGAGTTGCTGCACTTCAAAATCCATTCTATAATATCACATAAAATAAAATTATTACAAACCTGAAGATAGTAAATAAAAATTGTATACATACTGAAAGCCATAATGTAAATATGTAAAAAATCTACTCTAACATGAAAAATTAATCATAATATTAACTAAATATAAAATTCCAACTTCCAATATCAAATAATCTAAATTATTTTTATCTACCTGAAAACAGCAATCCAGTACGGCCGAGGAATGTAAGTATTTTAATCTCATATTATTAGTTATTACATCGTATAATCTCACTGTACGATCCCACGACGATGCCAAGAGAAACTGATTGGAGTTTGGTCCGAATTTCACAGCGGATATGCAATCCGAAGGTGCATTTTCCAATTTGAATTCGTTTGGCGAATCAGACAACGTCATTTTTATTTTCAAAACTATATTCAAAATAAATGAATATGTATATATATTTAGAAAATTATGATTTATTATTTATATAGTAAATATGTTCAAAGAAAAATCAAATTTGTATTCAATATTAGTTGTAACTGTGCCATTGATCTTATCAATTTTATAACTTAATTTTTGTATAAAATTTAAAATTTTATATAAAGGTATATATTATTATAATAAATAACACTAATATGGATTAAATTATATAGAAATATTTTTCTACAAACAATAAATTAAACAGTTAATTTTCAGTTATACTTCATTGAAAATTCCACTTACACAGTATATATACAATATGTTAATAATTCATCATTGATGACAGTCTACAAGATTATAAATTTAGAAGTTGAAACTTCTAAATTTAGCATCCCTGTCCTAACAAATGTTAAATCATGAAAACAGTTTGGCATTTTACGACAAATTTCTTTGCTTCAAATAAATGCTTTCAATCATTTATCATTACAAAATCAAACCAAAAATGCTTGCTCGATAAGAAGGATTAGTAAAAAATAAAACATTAGATGAAGTTAAAGAAAAGTATCTTTAAATCATATCAATATGTAAAGTAAAAAATATACAGGGTATACAAAAAGTTACTGTGCAATTGAAAAGGTGTAAGTTTTATATAAACAAACTTCATAAACTAACCCATTATACATTAAAGCAGTACATCAACCAAAGCCGAATCATCGGGCTAGAAACGATAATTTGGCTTTGGTTTGTAACCGATAATAAACTAATAATAATTTATAAGATAATTTGGTACTAGAGTTAGGCGTTACGTGCCATCTCTTGCTAAATTTAATAATTATAATTTTAATTAAATAATTTAAATAATTTAGAACTAGCTGGAAAAAAGCTTATATATACTGGAAAGCGTATGTAAGCTTATATATACTGGAAGAAGAGATCGGACCGGAGGTCTGGATAGAGTAATTGGCAATGCATCTGCACAGTAAGCAGGAGTTGTAAGTTCGAGTCCTGCTCTGGGCCAATTCTTTTCTTCCAGCTAGTTCTAAATTATTTAATTAAAATTATAATTATTAAATTTAGCAAGAGATGGCACCTAACGCCTAACTCTAGTACCAAATTATCTTATAAATTATTATTAGTTTAGCCAGTTCTAGCCCGATAATTGATAATTCGGCTTTGATTGGTGTAAGTTTTATATATGACACTAGTTTCTCCTACAAGTAATTTCTGGTTTTGAAGTAACCACTCAGCTATCGCCTGCAGCAAATACTGAAAGTGTCCCCCAAAATCTGGGGAGTGAGATCCACAGATCTGGCATGCCTGATTCCATGAGAAATTATGCAATTGGAAAAGAAGTTTTCCAAAAACCAGAAAGTCCTTGAGCAAACAATAATCCACCTACTGCAAAGTGAAAATGTGGAAAATACAATTTGCAGGTCTTGTACACAATGCCGTTCTTTAATGTCATTATAAATTTCTCATAGCATGGTAACTTTTCCGACATCCTGTATTTAATTATTATGTTATGTTTTAAACATATTACAAATATTTCTTCAAATCGTAGAAAAAATAATTACAATTTTGAGGTTATAAAAGAAATAATAATAATTTTTCCAAATTATTACAGTATCTTTGTATGTAAGTGTGTATATATGATAGAAGTATGACAATTATCAATATTACATGTTGTTTTTGAAAACAATATTATTTCATATATTTTCTTTCCTTAAAATTTTCTACAGATGGACCGCCAATGGCTTATACTGGCACTGGTCTACTCTATATTAAAACTTCAAAACATGATATTTTTAGCAAAATTTTTTGAACCATTTATCTCAAGAAATGTTCTAATTAATACAATGAACACTAATTAAAATATATTTTAAGATTAATTCATGAAATTAAACTTTATACAGGGTATTGCACATGTTTATCCCGGTGGAAAAATACTGTAATTTTTAAACAATTTGTTAGAAACAACTCACATTTGAGAGTTTGATACAAAAATAGTCAGCACCTGAAAAGCATCCAACAACTCCAAATGAGTATCGGTACCTGACTGATAGCTCCAGAAAAGGCCAGGGGCAACATCGACTCGTCCCCATATAAACCAGAGTTTAAACCCTCTAGGCTATGCAATAACTACCATTGTCGATCCAAAGCATGAATGAGAAAGAAAGAATCGAATATGGAGACGGCAACCTCCACTAAATAAAAACTGCAACAGTCAAAGAAACAATAAATAGACTCCAGCAAACCATTTATGCTAGCAAAACACAAAAAGATGCACAGAAAATTACTCAGAAATTTGACGCTGTCTTCGAAAGATACTTAGAATTACACAGCAGACCGATATATATATTTTTAGTGACCTTCAAATTGCTTGTGCAACCTAATTCACATTATAGTTCACCCAATTTAGTTCAGATCAATACACCAGCAACACACCAGTGTTGAGATCACCTGTGAACTAGGAAGAAACTTAAAACATTATAATCAAAGCAAGCCAAAAACTAAAAAGAAATTTTATAAAGGAAGAAGCACACTTTCTTAGATAAATTTGTTCATAGCTTAGGTATATATGATAATTCATATACACATATATATATAAATTGTTCAATTTAGTAATTCAATGTGAATTAGGATGCACGAGAAATTTGAAGGTCACTGAACTAAATTGATTGACCTTCAAGTGAACTAAAATGCACAAGACTAATTGGTAGTCTTGAGTCATCAAGCAAACTTGAAAGTTAAGCGGAAAATCATATATTTATTTTTCAACATAGTCACCGTTAAGGCTAACACATTTCTCCCAACGTGTAACAAGTTTTTTTATTCCGTCACTGAAAAATTCTTCAGACTTTTCTCAAATCCAGGACTTGACAGCTGCCTTCACCTCATCGTACGAGGTGTAATGATTACACTTGAGGTCTCTCAAGTAGAGAAAAAAAAAAATCGCAAGGCTCAAGATCAGGGAAATAAGGAGGGCATGGAATCGGTTCAAACTTCAAGTTTCGCAGAGCATCTCCAGTTGCACGCTAGATGTGTGGATGAGCGTTGTCATGTTGCAAGATTATTGGCGCCAGGCTGCCTCTAACACAACAAATAATCACCTGGCACCAATAATCTTGCAACATGACAACGCTCATCCACACATCTAGCGTGCAACTGGAGATGCTCTGCGAAACTTGAAGTTTGAACTGATTCCATGCCCTCCTTATTCCCCCGATCTTGAGCCTTGCGATTTTTATTTATTTTTTCTCTACTTGAGAGACCTCAAGCGTAATCATTAGCGTAATCATCAAGCTGCCTTCACCTCGTACAATGAAGTGAAGGCAGCTGTCAAGTCCTACATTTGAGAAAAGTCGGAAGAATTTTTCAGTGACGGAATAAAAAAACTTGTTACACGTTGGGAGAAATGTGTTAGCCTTAACGGTGACTATGTTGAAAAATAAATATATGATTTTGAGCTTAAGAATTGTACTTTAATGTACTTTTTGCCTGATATTGCTATTTGTTTTTGTTCATGTTCTACAAGCACGTGTGCATTAGTTTTCAGCTACCCTCATATATAGAAAATAACAAAACAAACAGTGGAAAATTTGACAACGAATTTACAAAAGACAATTTGATTTGTGGAGAGAATTAGTTGAAAAATTAATTAATGGCGCTAAAATATCCATTGTGTAATGGAAAAGGTAAGTATTTTAATTTAATCCTTTCTTCATATAGTTTTCTTCCTTGATCTATTTCTTAAATTGTTTTGTCTATTAAGATTATTTATTAATCAGAAGTGTTAAGTATAGTGTCTATGCTCTTAATAATTTATACATATAATTTACTATCATTTTAATTCTTTTTTTGATGAATTAGATACTTCCTTTAATTTTTGGGAAAATTTGCTGTGTAATTTTATCAATTATGAATTAAATTTTTTTTTTATTAGTGTTGACTTGACACAAAAAGAAATGGCATCTATTCATGGTCAAAAAATTTGTTGCCATCTTAAACATATCTTTCGGCTCTTTCTAATGCTTCGATTGCGATCAGAATAGCATATCCATCAGCCATTTTCACTTTCGTGTAGAGATCTCACATGCCAAACTCAAAGCGACTAGGAACTCACATGGCAAGATGGGAAAGCATGCGAGTTATAACTTAAGACTTCCAATTTGACATCAGTGTGAGATGATACCACATGACATCTTCAACACGTTGAGAGTTGTAACACAAAAACTCTAGATTAAGAGCCCACGTAGGGACAACCAACACAGGAAAGTTTTCCCCAAACAATGGGGAACATGTTGAGCGTGACATCACTTCCACAATTCCATACACACACGTGCAGTAACAGAAATAGTTGATACGGAAATATAACGATTATAAGTTAATTAAAACGAAAGTAAAAATTTACTGCCAAATTTAGTTTTCCCCATGTTAGTTTGTAACAACATTAACTTCACTTTTGCTCCTCATCCCTAGATATCAGGCGTTCCATATTCTACCATAAAAACCGAAGCAAAAGGTATCCAGCTATAATTGCATTTTATATGCATACTTTTCTCACTATTTTGCATCTAGTACACACTCGTCAGTAAAGCCTTCCTACGCCCATTTTGACGGCACGACAGATACGCTATTCCGACCGCAATTGAAAATCTCCCCGCATCAGTCGTTGCGGCTGGCACACGCGTTCGTCCACTATCACCATTTTAGAGTTTTTTATGTTGCTTTTTCTCGTAGATGGAACGTATTACGGTGAATTAATGTAATTCGTTTTGTTAATATAGATAAGTGTCTGCGTGTTTCTTAATAAAGTTGTTCTTAAAGTAAATAGCCGGAAATAAAAAATTGTTCGTAACTTTTAAACAGTTGATCGTAAGTAGGGGTATGGTTCATTAGACATTATTTGATCGCACGGGGGTCGACACTGTGGGGTCCCCCCTCAGGCAACACTTGATTCTTACCCTTTGGCTTCAGTCTAACCGAAAGTGTGTTTATTATTGACTTTATAAAAGCACATTTTCTTCACTTTTTGTGATTAAACTTCAAATAATTTGATCCACGAGGTAAAATCTATGCGAAAGATAATTATTAAGCTTAATAAATAAGCCAATGTCTTATTTATTTTGAATATAATAACGGTTTTCGGGTTTTACATTTGAAAATGTGAAAGGTCGGTTGAAATAAATGAAATGGCGGCGACCGTTGGTCGTAAGCACTCCAAAGTTTAAAATTATAACTACATAAGTTTATTTTTATGTGAATGTTATTTATATTTAAACTTATAACAAAAATATTTTAAAAAAACCTCGTATGCAAAACTTACGTTCTGTAACGATCGCGATCCTTTTCGATTTAAGCGCCACCTGATATTTTTTTTTTTCTTTTTCAAAATTAATAATTAATTTTCAAATATTGTAGATTTCGAAATATAACCGGATGTTTAAGTAAATAATTAAAGCAATTTAATTTAAGGATTTTTTAATTAGTGAATTCAACTTCATTAAAAGATTAATTTCCGGTCGTAATGATCCCAATTTACTTGTTTTTTTAAAACTCTTTCCACCCTGTGGGCAATAAGAGGGCCTCGTTTAGCCAGCCCATTATGGGTTAAGCCAGACCCACGATGGGGCGGCCGGGTGGTGAGGGACGGGTTCCGACGTATCCGGACGGATCACTCCCCGAAAAATTCCAGGGGATTTTTCGACCCGTCCGAATCCTCCAGAACTCTTTGACCGCTCGGCCATCCGTCCGTAAAAATCCCAATTTACTATCTCCGGTTAAGAAGAAATAAGTAAAATGATGGCGACTGGTCGTCGTAAGCAATCAAAAGTCTAAAATTGTGACTAAATAAATTATTTTTAAGTAAACGTTATTTGTATTTAAACTTATAACAAAAAATATTTACTAAACAAACCTCGTATGTAAAACGCGATCTCTTTCGATTTAAAAAACGAAATGTTTCGTCTCCACCGAAACTGAAACCAACACTACAAAAAAGCACACTACAGTATATTATTCTAGCCACTGTAATACGGCGTTGCATCATCTATCATTCGCATTGAAAAATTTCCATCTTTCTTTCTTTCTTTCTTTCTTCTCTAATATGGAGATTCTGGCTGGTCACCTTTTCTCCGATGAACTCTTGTCCGCAATTAGTCAAATCGATGTGTGCGTGCTACGTAACGTTCGAGGGCCTGCACGTGCTGTCTAGGTGAGAGGTCTGTTCTTGCCCAATATATGGGTGTTAAAGTCTGGATGATTGCGAGATCGATCTTCAGAGTACGGCCAAGTTCTTGTCGGGCTTCCGTATATCTTGGACACGTCAGCCAAAAATGTCTGGATGTCTCCTGAGCACCACAATGTGGACAGTCTGGTGAAGCACGTAGGTTTCTAGAACAGAGGAACCTGTTAAGAGGGGCAGTGTCAGTTCTTAGGCGGGCCAAAAGGGTCTCCGCATTCCGAGAAGTAGCATGCCTGTAAGGCCAGGGGGCGAAGGGTCTGAGGTGGTCTCGACCTTTATTACGCAAGTGTTCTGACCATGAATCTGTGATCTCTATTTTTTGTTGTTCTCTATACTCCCGGATTAAGTCACGGGCCATAAGTGACCCACGCCAAGAGCCAGAAGGGGTATCTGTTCTTGCGGCTCTGTCCGCCGCCTCGTTGATATCAATTCCCACGTGGCCAGGGGTCCACCCGATTTCTATGGGTTTGGGATGTTGAGTAATATTTTCCGCGATGTCAATAAGAAGTGCCGGGGACGAGAAGGAGATATTGCCTATCTCCTGTATGGCGGACTTACTGTCAGAGCATATGACTGACGGACCGTCTAGGCTTGAGCTTAGATGTAACGCCCGTTTTATACCCAGGGCTTCTGCCCCGTATACACTGCAATAGTTATGTAACAGCCAGGTCTCCCTGATGTTGTGGTCCGGGAGGACAATCCCTATCGACGTGCGGATCCTTGACTTGGAGGCATCTGCCCCTATGAGGATCCTTCCCTGCCAGATTGACATTTGCATCTCTCGGAATCGTGCGCATGCGATTTCCGGGGGTTCCGAAGGAGATCGAGTAAGCTCTTCTAGGCGTAAGTGAGGATAAACCTGGGCCACGTTTGGCGGGGTATGTTTCTGCCGATATAGGTGGGATATCGGGAGCCCCTCCTGACTTATAAGGGATATCATTCTGTGTATGTACGGTTTCTGATACTGGCGCCAGCGATAGTGATCGAAGCCATGTGCCATTTGGAAAAGCGAGTGCATTGGGCTATGCGAGCCCCTGGAGATGTGGGTGATGGCGCTTGCCAACGCTTTTTGGCGGAGCCTGATATGCAGTGGTATATAAGACGTTTCAGTGTATAGTGAGATGATAGGGGTGGTTTTTGGGACGCCCAATGCAATACGGAGGGCAGTGTGGAGTGGTTTTTCAATACGTTGAATTGTAGTGGGTGGCGCGCCTTCCAGCAGGTTAGCACCGAAGGTCGCCATTGGGCACATCACGGTATACATCATCCGAAGTAGGTTGTCTGTTCTAGCACCATTCCGGCGAGTAGCGAAATACTTAAGGAAATTGCCGGCACGAGTCAGTTTCGTGCGCAAATAAGTTTCGTGAGCTCTCCAAGTGAGAGTCTGAGTGAAAAAGATGCCCAAGATCCGTATTGATGTGTGCTGGGGGATGGGACCAGATCCGAGAATCAAGGATAGCGGGGGGGCGGTTCATTTTTGGCGAAAAGTCTATGGCGGCGCTTTTGCTTGCAGTGAAAGATAGGCTCCAAGTCCATTGTGAATTTCCATTGTGAATGGCTTCGTATAAGGGTTAAAATTTATATTCCTATTACGACCCAAAAATTCGCTTCTTAGTGCTCAAAAGGCGGAAAGAGACAAAAATAAAAAATTATAATAACAATTTATATTAGTTAAAAAAAATATTTAAAATTTTAAAAACAGAAATAATAAATTTTCCGTTCTTACGAGAGGTGGCGCTGATGGCCAAAGTGGATCGCTGTTATTACAGAGAATTTTGTACAAGTGACACGTGTACAAAGGAATATGAATTGTTTTAACGTTTTGACGCTTTTCTTATTATTAAATTTTATATCTTTTTTAAATGCGTTATATTTCCACATCTCGGAAACAGAGAGAAAATGTTTCATCGAAGAAATTCCCGACGAAACATTAGTTGTGGGTAGGTGATTTTACAGTCTTGTTAATTTTTCCATGTAAATTACACAAATAAGTAAAAATGCTTCCACGTGTTCACGCATTTAATGCATAAATATAATTAAATACGAATGAAGATCTACTATTTTGCTGTCAACGATCGAAATGACGAGAAATATCCATTTGTGCGTGTTAAATGTTGGTGTTTAATTCAAAATATTTTTGTTAATTTAATTTCGAGTACACGAATTTAAAATTCAACCGTGCGCAAGTTAATAAATTTTAAGTTTTGGTCATTAATCAAATTCTACGAAATTAATATTGAGCGCACGCTGATTCAAGATGGCGACGTACGCGGGTAGACGTGTTATGTATTGAAAGATTTTTTTTTTCTACTTTGTTAAATGATTGGTCGAAGAATGTAGTTTGGTAAGATGCGAAAGCGTAATTCAAACTTTGAATGAGACGGTCGGGATCTTAGATCATATTCGTAAGAGCAAAATAGTCAAAGGAACCGTACCGTACCTTTATGTTTGACCCTTCACCAGATATTTGCCTCCAAAAATCAGTTTTTACCGTGTACTGGTACTGCTGGCTGTTCTCCGTGTTGGTTGAAACTCCCATCACTTGTCTTTACTAACACTCCACGTGTAATCGTGTTATTTGGTGAGAGAAACCCATGGGGCAAACGCCACGCCCCTTAAAATTATATAATGTCGAGTACTCCTCAAATGGCAGAGTGGACTTATCAAAGCCGGTTCGGTCGAGTGTGCGAAATAGTTAAGTGCTGTGGTCTTGGCGGACCGATTGTCTCTCGATTGTGTGTGACCCAGAAGTAGATTGATTTCGGAGATCCGAATTTCTCTGAGGGTCTCGTGTAGAGATGTGGTTCCTTTGACTTTTTTGCTCTTATGGATGAGGTTCTAAGGCTCCGGTCAGGTCCTGATGTTTCATTTGGGGGTGTAATTGTACCTGTAGGTTTAGCTAAGTCTTTCTGGTTTTATTTCTTGCATTTAGAAGTTGAAGTTACTGTAGTTTACTGTGAGTAATAAAGATAATTTATTTTCCAATTAGGTTTGCTTAGGAGAATTATCGGTTTGGCGGCAGTTGTTACATAATTTTGACCACATTTATTTTAACACACTAATCATTATCTGTAGGATAAAATCTATTTTAAACCAACTTTGTATCAAACCACCAAAATATAAATTAGATAGAGTTAGATAACTTAATAATAGGATTTAACAATTTGGAGGGCTTATCACACCAAGGCTGACAGAAAGAAGGACCAGAACTTTTACAAAAAAGTCAGTCTTTAACAATCACATTTCAAATTTAGGTAAGGATGCATTTCGGGTACAAGGACCCCTCATCAGCTTACAAACACATTGCAACAACATAATAATTATAACACCAATAGTTAACCAATACAACAGAGAGGTTGCGGCCGACGTTTTCAACATGAAAACGTGTACATCAGACGTTCAGCACCGCCTTCCTGTGAGTATAGAAGTTTGACAATGGCATTTGGAACGTCAAGCATGACTCCACTGACGTTCCAAATGCCATTGTCAAACTTCTATACTCACAGGAAGGCGGTGCTGAACATCCGACGTACACGTTTTCGCACTCAAAACGTTGGCCGCAACCTCTCTAATAACTCTTGCTTTTAACCTTGTAACTGGAGTGGTTGTGTTATGTCAGTAAACATTTTCGACGCTTCTTCTGAGCTCTTCCTCAGGCTTTTTCTATAAATACTAAGCCGGATGTTGAGAATCGAATACCTTCTTTTGAGCTGTTTATCATTTGAATCATTGCACGTGGCAACCTTAATTACAAGATTAAAAGTAAGAGTTATTTTATTACATTCCGCTGTATGGAGACGAATAAGTATCAACTAATATAAATATGGTGTTATAATTATTATGTTGTTGTCATGTGTTTGTAAGCTGATGAGGGGTCCTTGTACCCGAAATGCATCCTTATCTAAATTTGAAATGTGATTATTAAAGACTGGCTTTTTTGTAAAAGTTCTAGTCCTTCTTTCTGTTGGCCTTGGTGTGATAAGCCCTCCAAATTGTTAAATCCTATTATTAGGTTATCTAACTCTACCTAATTTATAGTCATGGGCTAAAAGTGTTGTTTATTATTACCAAAATATAGCTGAATAAAATCATTAAAGTTGCTTTTTTGATATATATTTTGGCTAACATATATTAATTTTTATTTTTTAAATCCTAAATTCATATTCTTAATAGGTATCTTTTTAAACATGTTTGAATATTTGTATTGTGTTTTTGTGGTGTAATTAATGTATGTTTTTTTATTTAATTAATTAAAATACACGCAATGTTACAAAGACAACATTGACAGTCCTCTGAAAAACAAATAAATAACAAACCCAGTAATAAAAAAAATGTGAGATGGAAACAACACGCAAAAAGAAAAAAAGTATGGTTTAAGGTAATGTGAGTAATAAAATACAGGTTTTAACTCACTGGGCTTCAACAAATTGTGCATTTGCACAGGAGTATCTAGTAAATATGGCAATTGAAGGGTGTCTACATTCTGTCTGCTCAGCAAAAAAATAAATAAATATCAAATCCAGAAGAGAAACATTTAAAAAATTACTGTAAGATTGTAATTTCTATACCACTCCAATGATATCAGTGCATGTAACACCACAAATCACATGCCACAGAAGTAAACTTGTATCGACGGAAGTAATGATCTGAGAAGGGGGCAGTTTGATTTCTTGCATGGGCATTTTAGTTTTTAGTCCAGCCCTGGATTTAATGATGATATTGTAAATTTATCAAGAAAGGTTTGGTGGTCCATTTAAATTTTTGTAATTTAATTCTGTGAGAGTGAGTAATTTTATTCATCTTTGAAATAGTATTTCAATTTTGAATTTGAGTTTAAGAAAGATTTAAAATAATCAAAATACAAAAAAATGGAAGAAACAGATTTAGTTTGTACTTTTCTTTGCTCTATAATATATAAAGGAGGCAGTTGTTTGCATTGACAATTAGTCCAACTGATCTGACTGACCTCGACAGTTGACATAGATGATTGGTCAGATCTTTTATCGACATGTGCTATCCTTTAATTTTGCCACCTGTGTACTTCTTCACTCTTACATTGCCTCATTTGTGAATGATTTTATTTTTACATTAAAATAATACAAGAAATGAAAATTTTTTTGATATAATAATAATCTGTCAAGATTTTGCTTCTTTTTTTAAAAAATTATGATAGAAGTTCTTGTAAATTGTTTTATTACAGTCAATAATAAAACTTCTCTAATACTTTTGGATGTGTTTGGTCCATCTAAAGGGCATGTAGACAATCCAAATGCCACGTATTTACAGAAGGTGGACCAAGAAGTTCAAAAATACTAAAGAATTTGTTTTATATCATAACATTTTCAATTTTGACAAATCAGTTGTTTTATCTGAAATTTTGGAGTGCTGATGAATGTTATACCACAGATTTTAGTCCAATTTATTTTACTTATAAGTAAATACCATTTATATACTTGGAGCTACAATGAACAGAATATTTATATATTTAAAACAAAGTTTGTTGTTTTGTTGAGCAAGCTACACCTTTAAGTCAATCTGGAAAATTGGATAAAAGTTAACTTATCCGTCTTATGTAAATCTGGAATTTATTAAATGTTTAATGGTTACTCACTTTAATAAATTTCTTTTTTGTGATGTGATACAAAATTTTAAAGATAGAATATCAATCTTTAAAAAAAATTCAAGAAAGCTGAGTAAGTATTAAGTCTAGACTTAATAACAATTGAAGACACAATTGAAAGAAGCTGTTATGTTAAGCTCTGCACATAATAGTTGGTGTCAGAGACAATTTGTATAGTCATGTGACTGTTTTCCTTCAATAATCTGATGTCACCCCTTGTGATATCACTCCTGACAGTTCAAAAAAACCAGGGAATGTTTTGTGTACTCCTCTAATTTGTTGCTTGATAATTGGTTCACAAAATGATGAAAATCAGTGATCAAACCTATGAAGATTGAATGAATTTTATTTGATGTTATCTCCAACCAGTTTGCTGCGATATTGCCTAGTTTGAGCTGGACTTCACAGAATCAAAGTTTTGAATGCATTGTTGTTCACATTTTTATTATGTAATTATTTTGATGTAAATATATCCAGAAAATAGCAAGTCAGAGTGTGTTACAATGTCATTTAATTTCTGAGACCTTTGGTGATATGCGAAATACAGATAAAATATACGTTCAGGACGATTGGGTTTTGAATGATTGTATGATGATTTTGTAACATAATGCTGTTATCCACTCGTGTCTTCAATTGACAGTTCACTTTGGAACATTGTGTTATAAATAGAATTGTTTGTTGACTCAGAAAATGTGATCAGTATTAATTACTGCTGTTATTGCTGATTTAATATTTTTGGAATTTCAGATTTTATCTTTAAAACCATTTTGTTATAAAACTTAATACTCTTAAATAGAATCTATGAATAAAGGGAGGAATGAATTAAAGATTGTTTTCATTATGTTTAATTGACTTTTAACAAAAATAACTGAATGATGATTTCTGTAGATATTAGAAGAATGAAAACTTGTCACTGATTATTTAATCTACCAAATCTCTGATTTTGTAAAAATAAAATCCATGATATAACAAAGTTAAATGGTGATTGTATATGAAACTCCTTTGTATATAATGGACATATTATCCTGACCTACCAGTGTCCAAGTGGTTCCATTCCCTGAACACTGGTAGTTTGGTCATGGGTTTGTGCCTTGCCAAGACCACTGGCCATGTGGAGTTTTCCAGGTTTACTCCACGTCTTTAATGTCTAAATAGTTACTCTTAAAAGACCTCCCAGAAGGCATTTCCCTCTAGCAGATCACCCAAGTGTAGCATTGCCGTAACTAACAAAACAAAGAAACGAACAAATATGTTTTCATTTTTTCAAGATTCATATTCCAGTGATTTTAGAAATGTATAAATTTTTAAATTTAGTTTTCAAATCATAAAATATGCCATTAAATACATTCAAATAGTGTTTGAATGTTCTGTAATTATATTTTGCAAAGGGTAAGAATTATTTTATAAATATAAAATTTTTTTAATGAAGTTGAATAAATGAAAAACAAAAGTGATATCCAGCTGGACAATAGGATCAGAACTAAAAACCTTTACAATACATGGAAATTTCTATTCAATAGATTATCTTAGAGCTGTTATTCTATGTAACACCATTATGAATTTGTATAGTTAATGATATTATTAGTATGGTTTGATGTTGGTGCACAGTTATTTGTTTATTTTATTAGAATGTGCCTTATGTTCAAATTATTTTAAACCATTCTTCTGAAATCCTATGTGTAGTTCAGACTTGAAGAGGACTAGTTAAATTAGCTGAATATGTTTGCTTTTCAAAATTAAATGATGGATTGCAACAGTTTTTGGTTTCTATTCTGGTTGAATAGATGTGCAATGGGTCTCAATTTTTGAACACGATACTTTGAAAGTTTAACTTGCTTTTTGTATTCTAAATTTGTACTTTTATACCTTGTTTTGTTGACAAGCAACAATTCTGAAAGTAAAATATCAGAGTTTAAAAAATAATAAATTAAGGTTTTCAATTTTTATTTATATAAAAAAAAAAACATTAATTTGTTGACAAGATTAAACTTAATCAATATCTGTAAAATGTTTAATTTAAACAATTATTTTCAGGAAATTACAAATGTGAACTGCACGATCCAAAGACTGGAGGCTTCATGCCCTCTAGTCCTGGCATTGGAATGCATGTGGAAATTCAGGATCCCAGTGGCAAAGTAATTCTCTCAAAAATGTACAGTTCAGAGGGTCGATTCACATTCACTTCCAGCTCTCCCGGGGAGCATGTCATCTGTCTCTATTCAAACTCTTCGAAATGGTTCAGTGGAAGTCAGCTGGTGAGCAATTTTTATATAATCAAAACATGTCTCTTTTAAAATTTATTTTTCAATCTAAGACTAAATAAATATATATTTTAAGCGTGTACACTTGGACATTCAAGTCGGAGAGCATGCAGTCGATTATGGAAACGTTGCTCAGAAAGAAAAGCTTACGGAATTACAGTTGCGAGTCCGTCAACTTTTAGATCAAGTAGAACAGATCACGAAAGAACAAAACTATCAGAGGGTAATTACAGATGGATTATTTGAAAATGGTATTGCTTATTTAGGATTTTATCACATCAATTTTGTTTATTTGCAGTATCGTGAAGAGCGATTCAGACACACCAGTGAAAGTACGAACCAGAGAGTGTTGTGGTGGTCAATTATCCAGACTGCCATGCTTGTTCTCATGGGCTTTTGGCAGATGAAACACTTAAAAAGCTTTTTCCAAGCAAAGAAATTGGTGTAAAGTGGAATATATTAAATATATTCTGTAACTAAAACGTGAATGTATTTATCGTTATGTAACTAGATGAAGGATAAAAAGAATGGTTACCTTTTTTTTTAATTGGCCGGACTTTTTTGATTGAATCTTTCTGTCTTGTCTGTGTTTGTACAGAATTCCAAACATGTTCTTAATTTAATGATGATCCTATGGGGGTTTTTTTAATAAAGAGGCTTAAGAACTAACTAATCTAGTTTATTTTGATTCTTGGAGATGAGATAATTGTTATATCTGGGGTAAGAAACAATAAAACACATGGGAACGAGTCCAAGTATCGTTTATTCCTTGAAAGCATGAGCATACAATAAAACCAATCAGACTAACTGAAAAGACACTAAATGGCCAAAAACTGCTTTCTTTACTAATACCCTCTGCCACGACTCTTACTTTTCAGTTGATACCCCTTCCTCCTATGTTTGAAGTCTTGCAGGTATGCTGGAGAGAAAACTGCATGATGTGGCTGTGGCGAGTGCTGAGCTGCATAGCTGTGATCCAACTTGACATGGTCTGGTGGGACTATACTTGATTCCAGTTTCACGTTTGGTAGCCCATTTTCCATTGTATCATGAGAGAGCAATATCTTATTTGATCTATGTATCTGTGTTGGGAGCCTTGTGGTGTTTGCATCTCATAGCTCATCAGCCCCGTATGATGAGTCATGACAGCTGGGATCCGTTCTGAGTTCCCTCCTGTCCTACAGATGTAGACAGGTGCATGTTTTTTAAGGATGCATATCTGTTTCCTCGGTTCTGAGTTTTTTTGTAGAGGGTAGTGTCGGTTGGTGCACAAAGTCAAGGTGCATGTTTGCAGATGTTGCTTGAAGAGCATGTTTGCTAGGCTCACCCCATACTTGCAAAAGGAGTGATGTGCTGTTGTAACAGAAATTGAGATTGTTTTTTGGACCAATCCCTGTGCATTATTTTTTTCAATGACTCCTTTTGTAGAACAGACCATGTACTCAGCCAATCCATTCCCTTGTGGATAGTAGGATGCAATGCGTGTCTGGTGAATGCCATTGGACCTTGAGAAAATGGAAAACTCCTCTGAAGTAAACTGTGGTCCATTGTCTGATACAGTACTTTTGGGTATACTGTGACTAGTCATCAGTTCTTAAAGTACTACTATCACTTCCTCAGCAGTTTACTTACAAATATAATCAAACACCAAACAATTTGCTGAGCTTATTATTAATTTACTGTTCAAACGTTTTCAGCCTACTTCTAATAGGCCATCCTCAAGATATTACTGTTCTACAACCGAATACAAAACTTTCAAATAAATTTTAAATTTATGAATTTAAATTTATTTTAAAAACCCGTAAACTTATGGAGGATATATTTTACTAGTTTAATGTATATTTTTTGTTATATTAATTTTATATTTATTATATAGTATGTTAAAAATTTTTTTTAGTTAAGTATATAATACTTTGTAAAGATGTTTAAAAATATGTTAAAAGTTTAAATTTAAAATTTATTTGAAAGTTTTGTATTCGATTGTAGAACAGTAAAGTCTTGAGGATGGCCTATTAGAAGTAGGCTGAAAACGTTTGAACAGTAAATTTATAATAAGCTCAGCAAATTGTTTGGTGTTTGATTGTATTTCTTGAAGTACAGTATCTTAATCACTGCTGTTGTAGTAGACATCATGCACTTAACCTCTAACCATTTTGATGTTGCATCTACTACTTCTACTGCTACTACTAAAAACATTTCTCCTAGAAATGGACCTGCAAAGTCTATGTGGAGATGAGACAATGGTCTTGTTGGGTTTTCCCACAGGTGAATGGGCTCTAGGAGATGAGGAGTGATTTTTCTGACAATCTTGACAGGTGTTAACCATTAATTCAATCTCATAGTTGTTGCATGGCCACCACACATATGATCATGCCAATGCCTTCATTCTCATAATACCAGGGTAGGCAATATGAAGTTCATTCAGAATTTTCTTCTGTAGCTGATATGGGATTATCACTCTAGTTCCCCATAGCAAGCATTCCTTGTACAGTGACAATTCAGTAAAATGACTGAAAAATGCAGAAAGATCTTCACATGGATTTCTATCAGGCCAACCAGTCAGTATGTAGTGATGAACACATTTCAACAGTGGACCCTTAGCAATTAATGATGCAATGTCTGAAGCTGTGACTGGTGAAGTGTCAAGTTGCTCCAGAAATAGAACTTCGCTGGCTGGTGGTACATCCTCGTGAAGTGGTAAGCAACTCAGTGCATCCACATTTGCTACTTCTCTGTCTGGTTTGTACTTCAGTTTATAATCATATGCACTGAGAATCTGTGTCCAATGCAGCATGCTGGGTGAAAGAATTAATGGTGTTGGCTGATCAGTCATAAATAGTCCCAAAAGCGGTTTGTGGTCTGTATAAATAGAAAATTTTGTTCCAAAAAGGAAATGATGAAAACGTTTTACTCCATACACAACAGCAAGAGCTTCCTTATCAATGAGTGCATAACCATGTTCAGTCTTTGTTAGTGTGCAGGATGCAAAAGCCACAAGTGATTCTTTTCTATCCTGTGAATGTAAACAGAACTGCATCTATGCCTTCAGGTGATGCATCACATATGAATGTGATTGCCTTGGTGCTGTCAAAGAAAACAAGTACATTTTCTGGTGAAAGGAGGGTTTTTAGTTCATTGAAGGCTCTTTGATATATTCTGTTTATTTCCAGGATGCATCCTTTGTCAGTAGTTGGTGTAATGGTGCTGCAATAATGGTCCTGTGGTGCAGAAAATTATCATAAAAGTTCACTAACCCAAAAAAAGCCTAGAGTTCCTTCCAATTTGGAACAGGAGCCTTTCTGATTGCAGTCACCTTTGACAGTGCTGGATGAAGCCCATCACTATCAATTTGATAGCCTAAAAACTCAACATTTGAGACACCAAATAGACACTTGTCCTTGTTTATGTGTAACTCATAATCTGATCATTTCTGGAAGACAGTATGAAGTGTTGATGCAAATTCATCCCTGTTAGCAGTACAGATGAGGATGTCATCAAAATATGGAGAGGAGTATATCTACTAAACTCTGGAATACTACTGGAGTACACTACCTTCAAACTGAAGATAATTTACCTTGTATGCTCCTCAGTGAGTGATGATTGATTGTAGCCGTACTGAGGCATCATCCACAGGTAGTTGTAGATATGCCTAGGCCAAGTCCAACTTTGCAAATATTGTTGCAGGTGGGAGAGATGCCAATAGATGGACCACAAGTGGAATTGGATACAGATGTGCTCTAAAAGTTTTGTTAAATGTTACTTTATAATCACCATAAAAGTCTTATTTCATTAGATGGTTTCATAACAGGCACAACTGGTGTAGCCCAGTTGATCTTCAATAGGTTTGAGGACACCTCTCAATAGAGCAGCAAGTGTTGCTTCAATTTTTGGATGGAGAACAAGTGGAACTGGACATGCTTTCATTTGGATTGGTGGGTTTGTTGAGTCCACCAGTAATGATACTGGAGGACCCTTGTATTTGCCCAGTTTCCCATTGAATACTTGTGAAAAAATCTTCAATGATCCTTGTGATATTGTCACAGGAAACAGCATTGACACCACACAATTTAATTCCTAATGATTCAAACGAGTTCATATCGAGAAGGTTACAATCAATTGCAACAAATAGTTGGAGTTGATATGCATATCCATTGTATGAGACTGGAACGGTACACTGTCTTTTAATGCTAATTGATTTACACTGAAATTCATGGAGCACAAAGGGAACTTGTGCTCCATGAATTCCATGGCTGTAACTTGAGTGTTTTCTTAGGCCACGGACATGAACTTGTCCTCACTGATAATTGTATAGTCAGAACCAGAGTCTACTTCTAACTGATATGGATGGCCATTGAGTTGAATGGTGATCTTACAGTTATGAGATGTAGTTGGGCCAAAGTTGTTAACAGTGTACGATAGTACAATCCCAACATTGTTTGTGAAGGCAGCTATTCTTAGTGGTCTCTTTTTCCTTTTATATGGTAGAGATACTGATGGTTCTGGTGCATTTTTAGCACTACAGACACACACTATATGTCCAGTTTTCTTGCAGTAGTGACATTTAGCATTTAGATGTGGGCATTTATTTCTCAGGTGTGCACCACCACAACTACTACAAGGTTTTAGCTGAGAGCTTGATTTTGAGAAATTCTTGGCACCCTATTTCTGTTTCTGGCCTATCTGTATGACAGAAATGGTAGAAGAATGCACTCCATCAGTAGTATGCTCGGCACAGATTTCTCTGCTCCTGTTGGTGGCAATTTCTGCTGCGAGGGAAAATTTGACAGAGTCATTGAATTTTGGGTCTGACTCTGCTAATAAGCTCCTCTATGAAACTTCATCCCAAAATCTGCAAACATATTGGCCGCAAAGATGTTTGCACAACGTCTCTGAAACTGCAATCATCTTCAAGGCGTTACAGATGACAACATAAGAACTTAGACACGCCTTCCTTCTACACTCTTTTTTGAAATTGGAAACATTGGTAGATTATTGGTGGCCTGGGACAAAAATAATTCTTGAGAAGAGTCAATAATTGGTCATATGTCCTTTGTCAAGGCTGATTGGAACCGTAAGAACGTAGAATCCCAAGTGTCTCAAGACCACAGGAGGCAAGAAGTGTTGTTCTCTTTTTGTTGTCATCGACAATGTTGTTTGCTTTGCAAAAACATGTTAATTGTTCTACATACATGTCCCAAGTCCTTGGCTGATCGATACCAAAAGGTTGTACTGAGCCAATGGTCACTATGATGAGATGTGAGAGAGAAGGAAAAAGAAAATGGCAAGATGTTCACTAGCATACATTCAAATTGTCATCAGCTTTGTGTGCTGGATATGTTCCAGAAGATTAAAATAATCCCACTCTTATTGCCAATGTTAAACCTAGAGTAATAAATAATAAAACACACAGGAACAAGTCTAAGTAGCCTTTATTCCTCGATAGCACGAGCATACAATAAAACCAGTCAGACTAACCGAAAAGGTGTCAAATTGCCAAAAACCACTTCCCTTACTAATGCCCTCTGCCATAACATTTAGTTTTTAGTC